CATAGTTGTTTTATAAGAATCATTGGTGTCTAACTCATAAACTAATTGATAATGAATAAATTGTCTCATGTCCCTTGTATATTAGTGTTGGTTTCATTTTCATTTTCATTTTCCATGTGTAATTCTTAACTATTATTACATCATTAATCTCCTCCAGTAATGACTAACCTATCGCGAGAGGTCAAGATTTGATTTACATCATTAATCTTCATTTTCTTTTTACAGCCCTATCTGAAACTAACGGTTCCAATCTGAAATTGATGTGAAGGCTGCCGGTTTGAGTATAAAATCATGGAAGGAAGATCATGCAAATAAGTTTATTGGGCCTTTTACCACACTTTTCAATTTTAGGCCAATATCAATCACTAGGAAAAATAACAAAACAGTACGCCCAATAATCCCTGAGACCCTGACATTTTATTGGGAAGGAATTTCTCAGTCATAGCCCATATCAATCAATAAAACATGAATCAATTACCTACGCCTGGACAAATAAACCGAACCGAATGTACCGAACCGAAACCGAAGCAAAATAAAGAAAAGCTTTTGAATAAGTGATTTTTTAATTTCTCTTCAATTTTCAATTTCCCCTTTTTAATTGGGATTTGGAGATTGACAGAGAAGGAGAGACAGAGAATTTCGAACTTTCAAGTTCGTGTGATCGTGTTCGGTCTGCAATCTCACCACTCCCTTCTCAGGCCGTTGATCCCTTTCTTTTCAATTGAAGCCCTTGGGTTTAGTAGATATTATCCCTTAGGGTTTAGCTTCCTTAATTAAAAACGAAATTAACTGATTCCATAGAACTCATTGGAGATGATGTTGACGGAGAGGAATCGCAATTTTTGGTTTAGAAAAAACTGAGGGTTTGTCGTCCGAAGAATGAAGAAAAAGATACATATAGAGGGGCAAATCTGTCTTTTTCTCTGGCCCAGAAAAGCCTAAAACCATAAGGCCTAATACATAGTTCCATTTCTCAAATTTTTGGTCCACAAAATGCCCAAATCAGCAATATTCCCGTAAAACATACTGTAATATCATTTTTGGATAAGCTTTCTTTGTTTCTATTATTCGATACTCGAGCCTACTATACACTGTAGTTAAATATGGTAGATTTACATGATTCTAAAGTTCATTGTCAAGGCGAAGGCAACCTTTTTCGAATTAGTCACGAACTGATCTCAATCATGGATCCTCATTAGACAATTTTTGATGAGTGTTTTTAGGAAGACACTTTAAACACCCAAAAAGTAGGTGTCTTTTATTTTATTACTAATTTATAGTCAAGACACTCATCAAGAGTTATCTAATATCTATTGAGGATGCTCTAAATTCATAAAAAATCTAAAATAGCATCACACGGAAGTCCAGTAGCCCATATAACTAAGGTTTTAACAAGATAATGATTCATACCAGTGGCGGATCCACTAAGGAGAAAGGGGGGTCTGTTGACCCAGTTTAAATCTACAAATAAAATTTAATGCATAAGAATTCTGTAAGAGATACTAGCACAGTTGGCAAATTCCACATTAATGACACCCTCTTTAAACAAGTTCGATCTTACCCTCTTACGCTTTTGTGTAATTTTTCTTTTTCTACATGTTAAAAAAAAAATCTATGAACCAGGTAAATATAAATCCTGAGTCCACCACTGATTCATACATATAATCATATAGTGAGAACTTTACTAAAAACCTTGAGAGTTATTTCAAAACAACTCTCTTTCGTCATCCATATGAAATATCAATCGAAATCGTTTCTTTCCTTTTACTTTTTTTTTGTCGTCTTATTATATTATCATTAGAGATATTTAATCTAATAATGTTTCCTTTTACCTTTTTTTTTCTTTCATAGCATTTAATAAAAACTTTAATAAGCTATTTCATATCACTCTCATTTTCTTTATTTTGAATAAGGTCATTTCAGCTTGAATCATACTAACTTTGGATTCTCCCACATGGTCCACTATAATCATGAAAAGAAACTTGTCTAACATGGACCCAATCACATAGAAATTCCAGCCCATCCACCAATGAGTTGATCTTGATAAAGACTAAAGAGGATAATGATAAACCCAATCAAGCCCACTTGATAGGCCCCAACCATAATGTTTTCACGTATTGCTCAAAACTCAGTATGGACGGTGAAATTTGTATCGATGGTTCATCGTGACATAATATTTTTTTCATATACTCGTTTGTCTATCAAATTTAACTCAATGTTTTGTAAATAAATATGTATAAAAAAATATACATTATGGCGCTTGTGTAAGTCAATATTATTAGGCTTTGCTTAGCCTAAATCTAGTGGGAGAGTGGTGCACCTAAAGCACTCTATGTACCATATCTTTCCTCTCTTTTTAAATGGCGAAAGAGAAAATCGACTTTTCCACCCATAAAAAGGCTAAGAGAGTTGATATGTTAATGATACATACAAACAAAAATATTTTAAAGATAAAAGACAAAAATAATTTTCTTTTATCCCGAAAATGTTAGATGATTATAGTTTTGGAATGCTTTAGTAGATGTCTATGGCTTTTTGGGTATTACTTGCATCTCTCCAACCCAATTACCAAGGATCTAATTCGTTCAGAACTTACAAAATCACTACAAAGTCATACTAAGAAGAAAACAATGGGGTTGTACTAGTTAGGTTCAGTAGTTGTGTTGAAGTGTTGTTAGCCAAATTATTGGCTAAAGAGTTAGGAATATCTACGTCATGCATGATGCTTAAATTCTTGAATATATATATATATATATATATATATATATATATATATATATATATATATATATATTGTTCAAAATCATGGATTGACTCGACACAAATTTTATGATGATGCAGTTTGAATAGTTTCTTATGGTTCTTTACTGTACAAGTCGAGTTCTTATTTTACATATGGGTGTATTTTTTATCGCCGACTACAAAAAAATTGTAATTGGCGGTTTCATCATTCTATGGCGGAAAAGAGAGTAATTTTTTTTTTTACTAATTCACAATTTGAGTTTAACTGTATATCAAAAAGTAAGTGAATAGATAGTTTTCTTTCTAATGTCAATCAATGAATAAGTATTTGTAATTATATTATTTTTCTATTTTAAAAAGAATCCTATATTATCATTTTTTAATCGAGATATAATTAAATTGTCATCTTTTATAGTACCATTATGTTTTACTACTACTTTTTTTTTAACTACATAAGTTTTTTTCTCATCTTAAACTATACCGAGTCCGATTGGTAACACAAAGTTGTACAAATTTTTTAGCTGTTAGCTGGAGCTGTAAGTTTTTTCGGAATAGTGCAAAACTATAAGAAAGATCTGTACGAGAAAGCTGTACAAAAAAGGTGAGACTAAAACTTTTAATAACGCTTTTGATAAAACTTTTGTGATTCGTAACTGTCAAAGTTGTACACTCTGTACCGCTTTGATAATGGGTTACCATTCAAACCCACCACCCTCTATTCTTACTACTACTCTTTTTAACTACGTTTTCATCTTTTCTGTTCTTTAACTATACCGTCCTCTCTCACTTCTATATTACTATCAAACAACTTGTACCCGTTTGTATCAATAATCACAGCCATAATGGATAACCAGCAGACCCAGTCACGTTTAGTGGACTGCCCAAAAGTTTTTACTTTTAAAAGTTGCTAATAAAGGCAATATCATTTTAGTTTTTTCTTCTTCAAAATCCAACCATTTTGGGAATATTACTTTTATACTTAAAAAGTTGATTGCAAATAGCCATATACAATGATCGTTGATTATTTGGTAACGGGTAGGGTAGGCACCCAACCATGTCCATTAGCTCTTATATCTTAAAGTTAAAGTATGAAAAGACTAATTAACGTAAAGGAAAACAAACAATTCTAGATAATCTCTAGTTGCTATATAAAAGATATTTATACACATAATATAGGAGTCCTACCACAATAACTTTATATAAGAACATAAATAAAAAAGGATTCTAAAAATGGAAAAGGAGAATTAGTTTGTCTAATTGATGATTATTTTCCACTTCTGCTCCATAGAACAGGAAGCTCCCGTCCACCTTCTCCGGCAAAACTCACCTGCTTCTGCACATGTTTAATTTAATATAATTACTTATTTGACTCTTAATTATTTATTAATTTATAATATATGATTAACCAAACAAACCGACAAATCATTTGATGATCGAGAGGATCTTGATCATGGTCATTGGTAAGATTTGATATTTCATCAATTTTTTTTTTTTTTGCTGAGATATTACAAGAACTAATAACTATGTGTTTCTAAGCATATTACTCGACAATGTAATATGATTAAGACTAAGACATACACAATTTCAAGAGTATGTGAATCCATTTACGAGTTCCTTTGTCAATCTATTTATAAGTCTACTCATGCTCAGATAAAATTTTGACTATATTAACATGCATATGTGAATTAAAAAAAAAAATCATGCATAGATTGTGTTTATATAAATTGTTTGTATATAATATATTACTTACGTCATACTCACGTAGATAGATGACAAAAATAGATAAGTTACATATACCCTAGTGGCCTTAGTGGGTTACAATAATAATTATATAACTCTAATCAAATGCCAAAGCAATGCCTTAACAAATTTAAATTCTGTTTCTTGTCTTCTACATCAATTTATGAACTCTCTCTATTCCAATAAACAAATTAAACGATTTGCGTAATTTCGGGATATAATACTTAAATTCCTCAAATAATAGTTGACACTAAAATTATTATTAATAATTTTTTATAATCTCACAAGTTTCGGACCGAGACTCAACTTGAGAAGTAGAACATACTAATTGTGGTTTTTAACCGGTGTTCGAACTCAGAATCTGAAAACATAGTTCTAGATTTAACCGGTTGACTTATCGACTAGAAAGTAGTTGAAATTATCTTATGCTCGTTGCTTATATCACTTATATAGATTCTATTTTTTAGACAACATATATATATATATATATATATATATAGATTCTATTAAGTTGAATTTGTCTGCCTAAATTTTTATGTGAATAAAAAAATTAACGCGGTACAATTGTTTGACCAAAACTCAAGGTAAAAACAAGAATTACCTCACGCGCTTTAATCTCCCCACTTCCAAGTTTCCGGCGGCCTTCACCACCACCTCTACCGCCGCAAAGCTCACCGGACCTCTCCATGTAGATACCTAAAATCTTCTCAGCTATCGCTGAAGCATCATTATTATTCTCTTCCATAAGCTTCGTAATCTGAGAACGAGGCAACCTCAACCTCACACTCGTATGTCCAGGCCCAAGCCCAGGCCCAAACCCATCTCCGCCGTCAGATCTTCCAATCGTGACGTCAGAAACCGTTCTCCGAGACAACATCAACATTTCTAACCGCTCCTTCGCGCCAACGTGGATTCCAGACATAACTCTCCGGTACGGAAGCTTATTGTCCGTATCCGACGCAGTCGTCTCCGGCGGAAGTTTAGGAAGCTCGACGAGAAAATAAGTTTTCTTCGGCTTCAAGATTTGGTTCGGTTCAAGCGGTTTAGAGCGAACTCCAAAGTGTTTCACAGCTTGAGAATCTAGCAAAACGTAACCGGGATAATCCGCCGTGACTTCCCTCGCCGTCACCGGAGTTTTAATTCGGAAAGTTTCGCCGTCGATCTTCATTACTTTAGCTCTTTTTCTCTTCACAGTAATGCTGTTTCCCATTTTCTTCTTTGCTTTTCTTTTTGTTTGTTTGATTGGATAATGTGAAAATGTTTTATAAAGTGGCTATGTTACTATTTATATATGTTGAGGAGGTTTGGTTGAAAATATTATTTTTTTGAATTTTAGAGTGTGTGAAGCTGTGATATATTACAGAGATTCCTTCTAATTTTAATTAAAGTCGTTAACGTTGAAAAAAAAATTATTCATAATGTCTGAAAAGAATAAAGTTTAATATGTCGGTCCATGGCAAATTCGCATTACATTTCTTTTAATTTTATTACAATCTTTTTTTTTTTGTTTAGTGTTTCAAAGAGGAAAGAATTAGTCTGAATTATTCAAATCTTAATGACTGTAACTACCGCGCGTGATTTGTGGTTGTACGTATTTTTCCAAGTTTGATGTTGTTATATATACTCATGTAAGCCATATTATATGTAAGAAATATAATTAAGTCAAACTATTGTATATTTGTATGAAGAAAATTTATATTCATACAAATATGGTTGTTTCAGTTTCCAATCCCCACCTAACATGAGTTAAATCAGTTCTAAATTAAACCAATCATTGACTCACTCTAAATCTCGGATTAACGGTTATTCAAGTCATAGAATCTAATAGATATAAATACGACTAATCACAAAATAACAAATGTACCATATGAAACTTGGAACAAGCGAGCGACACGAGCCCAAGACCATATATATGTGTATTTCAAATTGATATATTGGCTCTGACAATGATGCTTTTCTTAAAATCTGTTCTAAGTAGAAGGAAAACATCACATGCAAATGCACATGTAAAAATTCCAGTTTGGGTCCTAAATTCTGCATGAGATCATTGTTTCCGTGTATCAAAATCTACTTTTGAAGTCCAATATTGTGCGAATACAAACGAATTGAAGTTGTTCAATGGTACAAAAACGATGAAAAACTTTTAAAAGTGAAAATATTTTCATAATGATTAATTAAAATAATCTTAATTGTTCATAATTAATTAAATAAAAATTTGGTAAGTATGAAATTATACGATCAATATAGAACTCGTGACTAAGTAAAAAGCAAAAATCATACACGGTTCCGTGTTGGTGTCTATGCTAGTGGTCAAACAAAGCATCCGACATCTACTAACCCTTGGTGGGCAAAACTCAAATGACAAAACTAACCTTATCTTTGAGTTCAACATATGTAACGAAAAGTTAGGCTAACTGGAAATGTCTCTTACATTTGTATTCTTTCGCTAGGTTTTTTGCTGTGTAAGTGTCACTCTTTTCAAAGTATCTGTGCTCCGAATCTTCAAGAAATCAGTCTAAAAATCGATCGAAAAAAATGTCAACGATTATGTTGTTTTTTTTTGTCAAACCGGAATGCATTACCACGTCAAAGAGTTGGTAGGCTATCGGGTCTAGTAGAGATGAAGAACTTTGAATGTGGTGACAAAATGGGACATATTTTGCTAAATAATCCGCCACTTGATTAGCTTGTGGGGGTGTGAACGAAAGAAAGATTAAGCCGGAGTTCTTTTGATACGTTCTAAATTCTTGTGCAACTATCCCTCGATTTTGGTGTCTAGGCGACCAATTCATATAGAAATTCTCTCTAATTATTATGAACAAAATTTGACTAAAAATGGAAAACAAAAACCCACTGAAATTATTTTTGCATCATTTTTTTTTATTGTCTCAATGCATTCGATATGATAATGTAGCAAAACCAGAACAATAGGAAACAGCGCAAAACATGGAAACGATCAAATGAAAACAGAAAAACAGAACAATGCAGACTAAGAAAACGACTTCAAGGTGTCTTTACACTTTGGGATCCAATGAAGTTAGTATAATAGGAATCTTGGGAGTGGGAGGCATTGGCAAAACCCTCCATCGCTAAATGTCTATATGACCAGCTATCACCTAAATTTCCAGCACGTTGTTTCATAGAGAACATTAAGAGTATTTGCAAAGACTTTGACCATGATTTAATGCATTTACAAAAGCAGTTGCTCTATAGTATCCTCCGTGATGATATTAGGCTATGGAGTGTGGAAGCTGGACGCGAGGAGATAAAGGCGAGACTTGGGAACCAAAAGGTTCTTCTTATGCTTGATGGTGTGGATAAAGTGGCACATGTACATGCATTGGCAAAAGATACTAGCTGGTTTGGTCCTGGGAGCCGAATCATCATAACCACTCGAGACAGAGAATTGCTTAACAGCTGTGGAGTGGACACTGTTCACCAAGTTAAGTGCTTGGACGAGAAAGATGCCTTACAGATGTTTAAACATATATTGCTTTTGGAGGAGGAACTCCTCCTGATGGTTTTGAAAAAATCTCAATCCGAGCCACTAGACTTGCTCACGGGCTTCCTTAGGCCCTTCAAGCCTACGCCTTATTTCTCCGTGGAAGTGCAAACACTCCTGAGGAGTGGGAAGAAGCATTAGGTGCCCTTGAGAGCAGTCTTGACCAGAATATAGGCGTCGATTGTTTCTTTGCGTTTGTGTTTGGGTATGCTTTGACATCTAAAAAGAATTTGTGTCGATTGAACATTCCATTGGCACTAGGATTTTGCGTTTACGCTTTACAAAATTTTCTTACAAAAAAATGAAAATGCTTTTTTTTCTAAAGAAAAATGTGAATTCTACATTCATGTAGTAGACTAGATAAATGCATCATAAATCTCATTGTAGTTTATAGAGTAAAATGCTATATGGCTAGCAACAGAGATATAAAGCCTATGTTAATCTCTAAGGCATGTAACATGAGGAGGAAAGGCATGAAGTAGGTTGTGTAATGAGCTTGCACGTGAAGAATAGAAGTGGGAGATTGGAGTCACGTGTGAAGAAGCTTGAAGAGTTGTTGTGTAAAGAGAGATGATTAGAGCTTTATATGCTCTGTTCTTGGGGATAAGAATTAGGTTTTGTGTACTCTCTTCTTATCAGTTAGACTTTAAGCAACGACAAATTATCGAAGCTTAGTCAAGAGGAGATTGCTTCTCTTTCTCATTATTAAGAACACTAAGTAATTCTGACAAATATTTTTCCACAACAATTGGTTTAGGTATAACTTGTGACACAATTGAAATCATGTTCGAATGATTCAAACACATCGAACTGCGAAAATTCGTAAATGCAGGTACTTGAACGTTTGTGTTGGGTACAAAATTCGAAGATCTAATAGGGTAAAACATGCAAAAGCTAGCTGACTTCTTTATATATTAGATAAATAGCAAGACATAAGTTAATATTTGACTCTTTAAGTAATCTTGATCAAAAGGAGATGATACAAGAAACAAATCATGTGTAGCAAATGAAACTACTTAATAATCTCTTTCTTTTCTTTTGCCCCGTTGGTTGATTTGTAGTTTCACTAAACTTGGAACATAAGAAGAGAACATAAGTGGGTTATTGGGTCCTCATCTTCTTTCTCTTGTTGATGACTGAGCCATATAGACAAGCCCACAAACCAACCCCGCGATTTTTAGCGGTTTCTGGCTCAAGTTTTGTAGTGACATTTTAGCTATTAGGTTCTTCCTTACATGCCAATCCATGTGTTTACTATGATCTTCTTGACATTTGAATCTAACTCTACACAACGAACATTGCCTGCGCATATAAGAATACATTAATTTAATCACAGATTCGTGTCGGATTTTTAGCAAAAACATATTTTCTAAGTTTAGTCCAAGCGGAGATTCGTCAATGTTACTTGCTTCTGAAGTTTGCTTCTCTTTTTCATTGTTAAGAACGCGGAGTAAATATGACAAATCGATTACCACAACAATTGCCTAAGGTTCGTAAACGTAGGTTCCTGAACATTTGTGTTGGTTACAAAACTAGAAGATCTAATACGAAACTTCAAAGTTATGGTAAAACATGCAAAAGCTAACTTCTTTATATATTAGGAGATAAATAGCAAAACATAAGTTAATAATTGACTACGAGTAGTCTTGATCAAAAGGAGATGATACAAACAAATAAAAGTGTTGCAAATGAAACTACTTAATAATCTCTTTCTTTCTTTTTTTCTTTTTTTTTTCTTTTTTCTTTTTTTTTTTTTTTTACCTGTCAGACCGCCGTGCGACGAACCATACTTAGGTTTACCTCTGGGGTGAACCTTTAAATTCACCCAACAGATTATAGCCAATCGTTTTGCCATGTCATTATTAATACTAGAGAATTAAAAAAAAAGAAACACAATTAAAAAAAAAAGGAAATCACAAAATAGATTTAGGGTTTAAGGTTTAGGGTTTAGGGTTTAGATTTTACAATTAAAACGAAATTAGATGTCTGTTTGGGTTGCCAAATGAGTGGTTAGGGTTTAGATTTTATAATTAAAACTAAATTAGATATCGGTTAGGGTTTAGGGTTTAGGGTTTAGGGTTTAGGGTTTAGTTTTTACAATTAAAACGAAATTAGATGTCGGTTTGGGTTGCCAAATGAGTGGTTAGGGTTTAGATTTTATAATTAAAACGAAATTAGATATCGGTTTGGGTTGACAAATTAGTGGTTAGGGTTTAAATTTTACAATTAAAACGAAATTATATATCTGTTCACCGCTGGGTTTAGGGTTTATGGTTTAGGATTTGGGTTTAGGGTTTAGGGTTTATATAACAAATATTTCACAAACCTAAACAGATATATAATTTCGTTTTAATTGTAAAATTTAAACCCTAACCACTCATTTGTCAACCCAAACCGATATCTAATTTCGTTTTAATTATAAAATCTAAACCTTAACCACTCATTTGGCAACCCAAACCGACATCTAATTTCGTTTTAATTATAAAATCTAAACCCTAAACCCTAAACCCTAAACCCTAAATCTATTTTCTGATTTCCTTTTTTTTTTTAATTGTGTTTTTTTTTTAATTCTCTAGTATTAGTAATGACATGGCAAAACGATTGGCTATAATCTGTTGGGTGAATTTAAAGGTTCACCCCAGGGGTAAACCTAAGTATGGTTCGCCGTGCGACCACCCCGGCAAGGAAGACCGAGCCGAGTAACGATCCTCTACAGCACCGGATGCGTCCGAAGACGATCGTAGCCGTTAATCACGCTCTGATCGCACGGTCATGGTTCATCAACCATGGTTAAGGGCCTGTCTCCTTAGAAATCAAGGAAACAGAGGTACGAGCCTATAGAACAGATCCTGTTCAAGTAAGGTCGTAATAATCTCTTTCTTTCCTTTTGCCCCGTTGGTTGATTTGTAGTTTCACTAAACTTGGAACATAAGAATAGAACATAACGGGGTAATTATATCTTCCAGATTTGATATGTTTCCAGCCAGTATCTCCGAATTTCACAGATTTGAAATATCCACTTTCTCCAATGATGTAAGCTGTTCGGTTGAAAGAAGTCTGGATCCATCTAGAACCGAGTGAATCGAAAACCACAGCGACTTTTTCTCCTCGTCAATGAAGAAGCTCTCAGCATCAAACTTGTCTGGAAAAGTAGTGAGATCCACTTTCAAGAAATTGCTCCAGGATACCACATTCGGCTCAATCTTAGTTGTAATATATACCTCCATTACTGCATTGTACCGTCGATATAAGACAGCGAGGTGCTCATCTTTTACACAAGATAAAGTCACATGTTCTGAAAGCGAAACATAAGAGTGAAACGGTAGAGGAAGGCGCGGTCCAAATCTCTCAGCAGTAAAATCAAAACATAGTAAAAAAACTTCAACATTTGGAGCTGATGACGACCAACCTTGTACTTTTTCTCGAGCAAAAAAGTAAGTATTTCCCTTCAAAGATACGCCGCTTTTTATATCACAATCGGGATCGACATCAAGAACTCTCCATGCAATGGTGTTAAAATAGTAGATTTCAAAATAGGCAAGAAGTTTACGGTACTCAAAAACATCCAAGAACCTCAAGATTTTGTAGTTACGGTTCTTGTTGTTGTTCTCGTATCCGAAAGCAAACATGTCAGATCTTTGATAATCGTTAATGGGTTGAATCCACCTGGTTTCCCCCAAATAAGGATTCCACACTACAGGGCATTGGTTATCTCTGATGACACATAACAATAAGCCATCGCAATGAAAGACTTTAAATATATCGACTTGGTCAAGTATACTTACTCGTTTTATAGATGGCTCAACAAAGTCGCCTTTGTTATGGAGTCCTTGGAGATCAAACTTTATTGAATAAAGCCCAAAATCTATCACCATGAACCCTAGAAACTGCTTCCTTGTTTTGCCAACAATATGAGTTTTCGATAAAGCGTTCCACATTTTACAAGTAGATCGCACCGCACTCAGAGATATTAATGGAACCCTAGAGAGTATCTCCTCTACCAAAGCCACCGGAAGATCAGAAATTGTCGTCATGCTTATAGATTGTGAATGTGTTATCTCGTTAGAATGAGATACACAAAGGAATTTATGAAAAGCTAGTTACACTTGGGACGATTAGGTTTCAAGGTTTCCTTATTTCGGTTTATTGGTATAGAGAGTCTGGTTTCTGTAAACCGGGAATCAAGTGTGATTTCCCTGGTTAAACCGGAACACTCTATACAAATAGAGTGTTCATTGTAATTGTAACAGAATTATCATCGTCTTCTTCGTTTGTTATACGATTTCTCAACAACTATTACGGTTGAAAAAGGATTTTGAAAAGCTTTATAAAGTTTAATATAAGTTAATTATCAAAACAATTTTGTGAGAATTACTCTTGTCCGTTTAATATAAGTTAATTATCAAAACCCTAAGGAGAATCAAAAGCAGACGACCTTCACGTTTGACTCTGTTATTAGGTGTAAAACTAAGCATTTAGTTAATCTTTTATAATTAACAATATAGTTACATCTTTCTTTTGTTGTTTTTACGATACTAAACAACGAATAAAACATAGATATAGAACTGAATTTGTGTTACAACTTGATTCATGTAACGTACATTACTTAATAAACGAATGATTAAAACAGAGAAATAAAGCCTATACTAATCTCAATCAGCAGACTATTGCACTCGCAACCGATGGAACCTTAACAGACATTACCCTCGGCTCTCTCAAATCCTTAGCTGGTCGAGGCTCAGGCATACACTTAACATGAACTATACGACCATTCTTGGTTAAGTAGACTGCATCTTTATACATCCAATCATCAGCTTCATGGCTAAAGAACTCTTCAAACGGCTCTTCGCATAACGCGCAATTCTTCTGATCTTCATCCGCAGGCACTACATGTTGTTGTTCTTTCTCCTCTTCTTTCTTCCCCTGCGTTTCTCCTCCAAAAGGTTTAGCCCCTTCTACTGTCCCTCCTCCAGTTGCTGCACTAAGCCATAAAGATGCACTCACCAACCATCCCCGCGATTTCTGCGGTTGCTGACCCAATCTCGTAGTGGTTTTAGCCATCCTGTTCTTCCTTACATGCCAATCCATATGCTTACTATGTTCCTCTTGACATTTGAATCTCACCCCGCACGAAGAACATTGCCTCGGCATATCCGAATACAGAGACTTAATCACAGATTCATGTCGCACATTAAGCGACGATGGATTATCAAAACTTAACCCAACAGGCAATGAATCACTTTTACTTGCTTCTGAAGTTTCCTTCTCTTTCTCATTCCTAAGATCGCTAAGTAAATCAGACAATTCTTTGCTCAAAACAATTGGTTGATGATGAAACATCGATTGTGACACAACTGAAACCATATTCGAATGATTCATCGGATTTTGAACATTAGTGTTTGGTACAAAATTAGGAGTTAGGGTTCTTGAATTCGGAACCCATTCAGGTAACGAATCTAAAGACACATCATCTTCAAGCTTACGATAAGGTAATGGAAGAGGAACAATTTGGGGATTAGGGTTTCCATAACCAACAACAAAGGGTTTCTGATAATTGTTGTTGATGTTAGAATCATTGTTACGTAATGGAAAACTTGAATTAGAAGCAATCACATCAACACCGTAATTGTTATATGATTGAGAAGAAACCCTAGACATGTTATTATTATTACTACCATGATGATGATACAGAGGAATATGACCAGATCGGAACTGCGGTTGCGGTCTGAAACGTTTTTGCGGCGGCGCGTAACGGTTGCGTTCCTCTTGAAAATCTCCGATTCCGCTTCCGTAACCGCGATTGTTGTCGATTCGTCTCTTCAACGTTGTTCCAGCGTTTGCGTTCCGGTGATTGTTTCTTTGAGCAGAGAAGAATCCGTTTGATGCCATCTTCGCGATTCAACAACGATCGAGGAATGAGAAACAAAAAAAAAAACCCTAAATTTGGATTTGGTGATTGCGTTGAGAGAGAGATGAGAATTTTTAGAAATTGAAACGATTGCAAAAGTGAATGAATCTGAAGAGGCACGAATATATATAAATGTTTATGTCGGTTGAAAAAGTAAAACCGCGTGAATCGCGCGTTACCACCCGTTTTGGGCCACGTTTTAAAGGCCCAATTTGTTAATGGGCTTCTTTATTGGGCCTTTCTATTTGATGTGCTTTCTTATTATTGATCGACGGCGAAGAAGAAGGAAGAAGGAAGAAGCTATGGATTCTGAGAAGGCACTAGAGCTTGTGAAGCATGGAGCTACGCTTCTCTTTCTCGATGTTCCTCAATATACTCTTGTTGGAATTGACACTCAGGTTTGTTTACTTCTTCCAAGTTTAAAGCTTTTATCGAATTTGATTGATTTTTGAACTTTCCTAAGTTTCAAAGTTTGTTACTTTATTTCTTCCAAGTTTGAAAGTGAGTTAATAGAATCTTTAGAAGAAAGTGTATGTGAGTTGTTGTGAGTTAGATATAGTTAAAAATTTGAGATTTTTTGAGCTTTTGAAGATTCTTTATTAGGGATGAATTGTGATGAATATAGTAGATATATATGTATGAATGTGAAACATATAAATCTTCTAACTTTATGAAGCCATGGAGAATGAAACACTATTTGTCATTGGCATATGTTAATAATGTTGTGAATTCTCGTTACAGATTTTCGCAGTTGGACCGGATTTCAAAGGGATTAAGATGATACCTCCTGGAATCCACTTTGTATTCTATAGTTCATCGACCAGGTTTAAGTCTTTAAATGGTTTTTGTTTATTTGTTCTGTTGTAGATAGTGTATGGTTAAGTCATAAAAAAACCGTAACATGGTTATCGATATGCTTTGGCTGATAATGCGGATTTTCGTGTTTTTTTCAGGGATGGTAAAGAGTTTTCACCTACCATTGGCTTCTTTCTTGATGTTGGACTTTCTCAGGTTTGGAATCAGTCTATTCTTAACAACTTTGAATATTTTGTGTTTGTGGTTATCTATGTAGATTGCTATTACAGAGAAAACAAATTCCTTAAATGTCATTTAGTAAAGTTCTTGTTTCTATTTGATATCTTGTAAGTAGCTCCATGGAATTGTATAAACCGTTCGTAGATATATATTCACTATCTTTTGTTGACTATACAAGGTTATTGTACGCAAATGGAATCAGCAAGACGAGTGGTTAGCCAAAGTATCTGAAGAAGAGGTTTGTCCTTCTAATAAACCTAGTTCTGTAATTTTTTCAATGCTGCTTATATGTTGGTCAGCGATTTGCATCTTTTTTTCGGTTAAGCTTATATTAGTTGAATGCCTTCTGGAGTGGAGTATAATGAAATCATGTTGCAGTACCCACTAGTTATTTATTTTCATTCTTCTCTCTTTGATGCCAGGAAGAGAGATATTCTCAAGCAGTCAGGTCTTTGGAGTTTGACAAACATCTTGGCCCATACAATTTAAGTCAATATGGGGAATGGAAGCACTTATCTAACTATATTACGAAGGATGTTGTTGAAAAGTTTGGTATGTGAACCTTAGATTTGGTGGATTTTTTAACCACATTGTTAATGTTTTCCCTCACTTGAGTAGTGAACACTGTAAAGCTTGGCTTGTTCAAAATTTTATGTTCAATTTTGCAGAGCCGGTTGGAGGAGAAATAACAGTCACCTATGAATCTGCTATTCTAAAAGGTGGACCTAAAACGGCAATGGAAAGAGCACTTGATGCACAGATGAAGAAAAGCAAGTTTGCGGCATCATCTACTGAGCAACCCAAAGGGAATAGGTTTTATTACACTACTATTCCTCGGATTATAAAGCACAAGGGAATGTCTGGGCAAGAGCTGACGTCTATGAATCTTGACAAGGTAACTCCTCTTAACAGATTTTTCCTCTTTACATTTTCCCAAAATCCTGTGAATTCTAAATTATGTCATTTCCTCTTTTTCTTTGTATAGACTCAACTGCTAGAAAGCTTATTGTCAAAGGAGTACAAAGACTCGGAAGACTTGCTTCTCGGGGAGCTACAATTTTCCTTTGTAGCATTTTTGGTATGTGCTGCCTTACCGTAATATATACTTCTTAGAAGCTGATACATACATAATGCACATATATGTATGATCAGTGGTCACAAATAGGACTTCTTCAGATTTGTTCCATTCTCAGATCAAGTTATGTTATTGTGCAGATGGGGCAGTCTCTTGAATCGTTCATGCAGTGGAAGTCCTTAGTTAGTCTTCTACTGGGCTGCATTGACGCGGTATGTGATTTTGAAGCTCATTATGTTATTGTAATGTTCTGTACCAAAATCCCTTCTTCCTTTTAATATAATTGACGTGATGAGACGCGAAAGTACACCCCCCTTAATTATTTGGTATGTCTTGTCTCATGTATCTGCGAAGTTCTGATTTTTCTCTTAAGCTCTGATGCAACAATATATCTCTTTCTTTCCTATGCTTCATGGCTCTTTGGTTTTTGACATATATATTTCTTTGTGACCTTTGGCAGCCCTTTCATACAAGGAGTCAACTATTTACAAACGTGAGTTTAGTCAATTTTCATTTAAAGTGTAGTAATCTGAGAGAATGCATCAAGATGATATGTAAATCTATACTATCTCGTCTTTCTCTATCTTTGTGTGTCCTCCTAAATAGTATTATTACCTTGATGCATTTGTTGCAGTTTATTAAAGTCATCTACGATCAACTAAAATATGGACTACAGAAAGAGAGTAATGGTCCTGAGATGGGCATTCATGCGCTTCTTGATGATTCTTGGCTAGCTTCCGATAGCTTTCTGCATTTGCTTTGCAAGGTAAATCTCTTACTGACGACATGCTTTCTCTGAGCGAGTATAATTCGTTTTGGGAGATCTAAAAATTTTGAGCCAAACTTTCGTTGCTTTGATAACAGGACTTTTTTGCTTTAGTGGAAGAGACTTCTGTAGTTGATGGAGATTTATTGTCTTGGGTATGTACAAATTCCACATAAACAGTAATTTGCAACCCTTATTCTCATGTCTCATGAGGTTTCTCTACAGCAAATTCGTTTAACATCGGTCTTTTGCAGATAAGGAAGTTCAAAGAGTTGCTTGAGAACAGATTGGGATGGGAATTTCAGAAGAAGAGCGCTAGTGACGGGATTTACTTTGAGGAAGATGACGAGGTAAATATATCCACCTCCAGCTTTGTCTTGAGCTTTCTTTTGCATTCTGTTTATTTTTCGCTCATGGACTCCCATTAATTTGACATGATGTAGTATGCTCCTGTGGTTGAGATGTTGGATGAAAGTCATGGAGAATATATGGATATGTCCACTTAGACATCGATCGATGCAGGTATTCGTTGATTTTATCCGACATTTTTGGGAGTGGCGCAAACGTTTGCTTATGATGCTGATACTGATATATTAATTGAGGTTATTCTCGCTTACATATAGATAACGTTGCCACTAGCATGGGAGAGTGATTTGTAGTTAATGCACTATGCACATGTCCTTTTTACACAGTTAATAAACATAAGTTTGGTCTTTCTGGTTGGTGCATAGAACACTTGTGAGCAGTTTTCTTGATCAAATTTTATGGATATAAGTTCCTTGTAAGTTGTTACAGACACTATCTGACCAAAATCTCTGAAGAAATTTTAAATTCTGCGTTTAGATGCCAACATACCGATTACATAAATTCACCAAAATTTGGATTACATACACTAAAATTCTTCTACCTCGAGAAAAAAATGAGGAAAAAATTGGATTATACCAAAGAATGTGAGGATATTAGTCATAACAAAATAGATTTGAAACCAAATTTAGAAGTGGCTACATCAGATTTGACTAATTTGCATGCTTTTAACTTCCTGACCAAAGCTTATCTCTGTTTCAGTCTCTGTCTTCATAGCTTCTTCAGCTTTTGACCTCTCAAGCCATTCCAAAATGCGGCTGCCTTGATCGCTTTCTTACCAGAAGGCCGGACTTCTAGTACCTGAATCGCAACACCAAATTTAGCTTTTTAGATGATAGATTATTGTCTGATTACCACATCATAACATCTGCCTTTTGTATCAATAGTTAGTGAGTCTGTAACTTAGTTGATTTAGAGAATAGTGTCACTGATTACCTCTAAAGCTGTATGCAGGGAAACATTAGTGAACCTTTCTTGAAAGTTACATAATCTTGTTCACCATCCCAGATTTCCAAAGCTTGACATACTCGAGTGGTGATGATTTTAAGCTCGAGCACCTTTTCCTGACTGCTTTTGTCATCGAGGACTACAAATTTAGCGTGTGTTCCTGGCCATCCTGCGAATGCACGAACCTAAAAAGCGGTATTACTTTATATATATATATGATTGTAGACTAATTGAACTTAATGAAGAGTTCTATACCTTGCTGTGTTTTAAAATGCGAAAGGCGACCTAAGGCGTAAAGACCCTCTAATATCGCCTTGCGCCTAAGGCGAGCGATATATATATATATATATATATCAGTTTTTAACCTAGAACAAAGCCGAATTAGCCGGGTTAAAAATCGGTTTAAGTAACAAGAAAAGTTCCTAAAGATCATCATAATCAGATACTATTTTTCAAATCTGAGTTAACTTGTAAACCAGGAAGAGTTTGGTGCAGCAGATGCATTGAAAAGAGCTTCAAGTACAATCACGGAAACCTAATTTCACGGAAAAGGAATTAGATTAGGCTAAAACCCTAAACCCATGAAGATGTTAAAAGTACCTCTTAACCTGAGGAGAGCCTAAGAAGATGAGAGACTTCTTCTTCGGAGACGCAGCCATAGAAGAAACATCCCTGATATCTATGTGTTTTCTTTACTCGCCATCTTCTTGAATTTCCCATGAGTAAAAAAGAGGCATTTTCCAAGTTTTTGAACTAAGCCCGAGAAGAAGAATAACCATCCTCTGATTTGTCTCGCAAGTAACGACTCCGACCGTAACCTAACTCTCTCACCACCGACTCAACCATCCTCCCAGCCACTCCGGTTTCAATACCAATCTCTCGGCCACAACATACCAAAGCAGCTATTCCCATCATCCACATGGCTGCAGCTACCCCAATACCAACCATTGCTGCCACAAGAACAGCTACCATCACCATAAAACTGAAGCAAATATCAGCAGCAATGGAGAAGCGATCAGAAACAGAGTCACCGTCGCCACAGTGCTGAAACTCATCAGACCAAAAAGCGGCCCGACCACTGCTACAGCTGCTACGGTTGCAGCCACAATCGAAGAACCAGTCCTCCTTTCTCCATCGGTTATGGCTATGTCTCTTCTTCTTCCTCCATGATTCTCCATAGTAGTAGTGTGAAGTTAACAGAGAATTTTGTAGCATTGGCTATATAGAAAGGAAGATGGTGGGCTACTGACATGTGGATGCCGATAAGCCACCCGACATGTGTATAGTCTTCTATACCCAAAACGCCAAAAACTCTCTCTTTACATTATCCACAAGACTTACGGATTTGAACCGGACTGAAATAACCGAATCATATCTAAACCAAAACCGAACAAAAATTTAGCATTGAACCAAATTGGTATAAGAAAATTTTGACTCTAACTAGAATGATCCAGTTATTTTTTATTCGTCAATGAAACATCAATTAGACACCAACAAATCCTCAAGTTCTAGGAGTCATGACTGATAATACAACATCATTGACGCAGGGCTCGATGAAAGCTTGCTAGTATAATAGTGAGCCAAAGAATAGTTTCTTTAGTAAATAATGAAAAACGGAGGATTTTAGTGAAGAGGGCTTAGCTAAAATTTGATTTAGCAACTTGTGGAAGAGACTTGAGAAGAGAAGGTGATGGCCTCCGAAGAGTGTGATTGAGAAGTAGCATCAAAGTGAGAAGTGTTAAAGCTCCTGCTTGGTGTGCGCTTCCTAGTGAGACCGGAACATAACTCAGAAGCGTTGATACACCTAATGTCACCTGCAAAAAACGAAAAAACCCCATCAATGGTTTGGAGTTTTAAGTTTCCATGAAAGTTTATGTTGATTGATTTACCTGAACAGCAGTCATTCCGACGGTACTTCCGATCAAAGCTTTAACGGCTGGATGTATGTCTAGCTTCCTTGTGAACCACCACATTGTTCCAATTGCGATTAGGGTTGTGGTTGCAAGAAGGCGATGATCAAGCTGAAATTTAAGTAAAGTTTAAGTCTCTTTAAAACTATTGACGCAAATTGAGAAAGCTTTGTGTCAATGGTGTACCTGAACAGTTGCTGTGTTCTCGAAAAAGTTGCGTAAAAGTGGTTTCATCTCAAATATATTATCTGGGATCCATGTATCGCCCATTTTCGGGAATGTGTTGAATGCACGACCCTACAATTCACAAGCGGAGAGATCAAAATACTCAGCTTCCTTTCTGTAACTAATATAATAGAAGCTTAGATCCAAGTTTGTTAATTTACTTACAGCATCATTTCCAGCAACAAAGGCTCCTGAAATTGCAGTGATACCAACAATCAAGCTTACTGGTAATGCAAGCTTCTTCACTTTAGCGGCTCCCCGAACCCAAGCCAATGACTCAGCTGGTGGTTCAGGCATAACAACAGAGAGAGCGGTCCAGAAAAGTCCACAATAAATGGCAAAAGCTGAGGTCAGATGAGCTGCAAGACGGTACGGGCTTACCCTCGGTTGAGAATATTCAGATGGCGGCTCCTACAGGACCAAACTGATTACTGGTTACACAGCACATAATAACATCTAATAAGAGAATCTACAACAGTTCCTAATCTTTACCTCTAAACCACTTTTAACCATCCACCAACCAATGAGACCTTGTCCAGCACCAAGCGCAAATAAACCAGAGAGCTGAACTCCAAGACGTAGAGTAATATACCCTTTCCGCAGAAAATAGGAAAACGGCAAAGCAAACATGATTCCCAATCCTCTTCCCCACATTCGATGAGCATACTCCATCCAATATATAAACTTAAAATCTTCAAGATTCATCCCTTTGTTCACACTGCGAACCACCAATTCCCAAAACACAAACAGCATTTTCAAAATCAAGAGTTCGTCCAAAGACAAAAAACGCTACCAAAATCGCAAAACTAACCGCTTATATTCAGGAGACTGCATATATTTCTCAAACTCGCAAACCCATGCTTCATCTGACAGCGGAGGGAATTCACCAGTAAATTTCCAATCAGTCATCGATAAACCAGATCGAGTTAATCGAGTTACTCCGCCTAGAACAACCATGCTGAAAACCCAAGTAGCAGAACCAAAAAGCCATATCCCAACCCATTTACGAGCTTGAGGTCCTCCAGTCACAAGATGCTTCAAACCCTCTTTACTCTCTGAGCTAATCGACACTACAGTTGACATCTTTCTAAACATTGAAGCATTTTGACCCTACACAAAAACATAATCTTGATCAAACCCAATCTTAGAATCTAAGCAAAGAGAGAAATCTCATAATCAACTAACAGGAATAAAAAATCTCAACTTTAACATAAACCCTAATCAAAAGTATCAACCTTTGGGAAACTACCTTGAGAAGAGATCGCAAGCCATAGGAGTTTGCAGCTAGAGAAGAAGACGAAGTAGAGGTTACAGTAGCAGCTGTAATGTTAGAAGTGAAAACTCGATGAGACGAAGTAGTGAATCCTTGAGCGATTCCATTAATGAAAACTTCTTTGTTTCTCTTCAGAGTCGATCCCACCGCTCGAAACATCTCTCAATCTTTAAGGTTTTAAGCAAGGTTTTTGCGTTCAGGCGACAAAAAGAACGGCAAATCAAATCTCGTTCTGCAATTTCAGTGATTTTATCTGACGGTTTAGGGAGTTTTTGCTTGCATGACAGATGTTTGCCTATGATGCTAATGCGGATTTAGTTTCTTCATTAAGAATCGAGGCTATTTTCACGGTCTTACATTTAGATATCGTTGCCACTAGCATGGGACAGTGAATTGTTAATGGCAATATGAACCGGTTTTTACATAGTTAATAAACATAAGTTTGGTGTCTCTGGTTGGAGCATAAGAACACTTGTAAGCAGTTTTACATTTGATCAAACAATTTTTACATTTTGCTGCTAATGCGGCTCTATTTAATTTTAGAAAATCATGTTATCCCAAAGAATGTTGGTATATTAGTAATTGGTGATTCAAAAGCAATTTGAAAGTGGCTACACCTGATTTGACCAAAGCTTAATTTTGTTTCAGTCTCTGTCTTCATAGCTTCTTCAGCTTTTGACCTCTCAAGCCATTCCAAAAGGCGGCCGCGTTGATAGCTTTTTTACCAGGAAGCTGGACTTCTAGTACCTGAATCAGTAACACCAAATATTAGCTTTTAAAATACCGCATTATAACATGTGTTTTTTTGTATCACAGTGAGTTTGTAACTTGGTTGATTTAGAGAATAGTGGCAGTGATTTGTTTATAGCTTTTACCTCTAAAGCAGTACCTCCTCCACAGGGAAACACCAATGAACCTTTCTTGAAAGTTACATAATCTTGTCCACCATCCTGGATTTCCAGATCTTTGCATACTCGAGTGGACATGATTTTAAGCTCTAGCACATTTTGCTGACCGCTTTTGTCATCGAGGACTACAACTTTAGCTCTTGTTCCCGGCCATCCTGCAAATGCACGAACCTGGAAAGCCGTTTTACTTTTTATGTTTAGGATTATATACCAAGTGAACGAAATGAAGGAGTTCTTCTACCTTGTTATGTAGAACAAAAGCTTCCTTGTCAAAAGAGAGCCAAGCCTCATCTGGAGCTATCTGTGCATCAGTTGAATCATTTCAGTCACATAAGAACCAAATTTCGAATCAGATCACGTTATCTCATACATGAAGCAATATAGCAGCATTGCCTTATAATTTTTGTGCCATATTTTGAATGATACAAGACACACAACAGATACCTTTGGAGCTAAGGTAGCTTTAGAATCATCTTGGGGAGCTGCTTTTGATTTTGCAGACCCATCAAATATTGACGGAAGTTCACGGATAAGAAGCTTTGAACCTGCAAAGTTTATTTTCGCTTAGACACTACTCACATATTTTTTACTGAAAAGCATAAGCAGGTACTGCTCTCGTTTATTATATTACCTTCAGAAAATAGGAACGAGAGCAGTTCTGGTGCCTGCAGATGATTCAAACAGAGGGGTCATTGACATCCAGAGAATATAATAAAGATGATGAGCTACGTCGGGGATAAAGTGAATACCTTTATTAGATCATCCACTTGGAACCTCTTAGAGGCAATCACTGGCCCTGCATCTAACTTTCGCACCGTAAATGCTAATGATACTCCTGTTTCCGGGACACCATCCTAGTGTAGCCACCAAGTGTTATTGTGCACACTTGAGTCAAGAGTCTTAGCAATGTAGTAAGTAAGAGGCTAAGCAATAAGAGGGAGAATGGAATGAGTTAAGATTGATTTGCACCTGTAATGCTCTTTGAACTGGAGCTGCACCACGGTACAGGGGCAACAAACTTGGGTGTATGTTCACTGTCCCTAAACCATTAAATATTGGCTCAAAACACAAGACTCATTCGCAGTATAAACAAACAAAATTCGTTTCCATCGACTATCTAGAATGTTCCATTCAGTATCAACTTTTACTAACCATGTAATGGAATTTTAAGGAACTTAGTAGGCAATATATTCCCATAAGCTGCTGTAATACAAAGCTCAGGTTGCAACTCTCGTAAAGCCGATAAGAACGCTTCCTGCATAGAAGAAATGCAATGTCATTGTCACAAGAAAGAACGAAAGATCACATCTTTCCAAAAAGCAAGAGCTTGATATTAATCAAACAAGAATCCTTACATCTCCTGCCTTCTCAGGGGAGAAAATGAGATCAGAAGGTAAGCCTTTATCCAGAGCGTACTGCGCTACCGGAGAAGGCAAAACTTTTCTGCCTCTATCTCTCCTTGATGGAGGCTGTGTAACAATGCCTGCAACCTAGAACAAAAGCCGAATTAGCGGGTTCAAAACCGGTTTAAGTAACAACAAAAGTTCCTAAAGATCTTCACCACATTTCTCTTATCTTGTTCATAATCAATGAAATTTCACATTAACAAGAATCAAAATCAGAAAACATTCCAATATTCAAAATCTCAATTTCACAGTGCCAGTTTCAGATTATACCTCGAAGGAAGAGTTTGGTGAAGCAGATGCATTGAAAAGAGCTTCAAGCACAGTCACGGAGACCTAATTTCGCAGAAAGGAATTAGATTAAGCTAAACCCTAAACCCATAGCTATTTTACAGACGAAGATGATAAATCTTTCTGACCTGAGGAGAGCCTAAGAAGATGAGAGGCTTCTTCTTCGGAGACGGAGCTATAGATGAAACAGTTGAAGAAGCGTTGTAGCAGATGAAACGACGTAGTATCATTGTTGCTGCGTCAATGGTTTCGAAGCTTCCTTTGGATTTTGGAACAGAGACGAGACGGAGATGATAATGTTGCTGATTTCAATTTGGATTCGGACCGGTCAGAACCGAATTGAACCGGAAAGAAACAAACATAACCAAATTGAAGTTAAATTTTTAATTCGGTTTAGCAATTGTTCCTTCTTTGGTTTTCACATTTCACAATAGTGGAATTTTTGAAAGAGTAATTAAACAGAACTAGAATTTAACCCGCGGTATACCGCGGGGCTATATTTTAAAAAAAATATATAATGTTACTTTTTTAAGATTAACTGAAGATATATCATATTAATTTGTATTTTTAAATGTAGATATCTATCTATCAATTTTTGAAATATAAATACGAAAACATATATTTTTTAAAGTAACGATGTATGGTGGATTTTAAAATTTTGAATATTTTACTCTGCAGTATACTGTGGGTCAGTTTTTTTATAACTAAAAATTTTAAATTAAGTTGGATTTGTTTTGTTAATATTGTTTCTTTTGTTTTGTGTTTAAGATTGTATAATTGTATTTTGATTGTTAATTTTAGTATTTCATCCGTGATATACCGTTTTTTATTAATATCGATCCAAACCCGTCATCCCATATAAACCCGTCTATATTATCTCGTTAGCTAAATTATTAGTGTTATAAAATCCAAGAAAATAAATTAGTATTGTTATAAAATTTAATAATTTTAGGATCTCACACGTGGTATACCGTTCTTTAAACGATTTTAAATTTATACTACTAATATATATTTTAAATTTATCTTATAAAGTATATGATTTCAAGTTTTTGTGTTTTTTTTTATTTAAATAAAGCAACGACTTAAATGATGATAGATATATTTCTTTTTCATGTATCTGTATATGATTTTTCTATGTGAATATTTTGATTATTATAAATTAGTATTTTTATTGGTATGTAAAATGTTAATATAAATATTTGCTATAAATGTTTTTTAAGATATATGGAAAGATTGTGTAGAGATTTTTTGAAACAAATTAGGCAAGATATTGTTTGGTTAATATCTTTTATTTAAATTTTATAAAAGTAATAATAAATGCTAATGGCATAGACTCGTAAATACTTAGCAACTCTAGGATTTATTTGCTAAGTGTACTCCAAAAATGTATATATAGATTTGGAATTTGGTGATAAAATCATCTCGGAATTGGATTTTTTTCAGTAATAAATTAGTGAATTACCATATATTGAACCACAGATTCAAGTAAAAATTTTGTCGAAACAGAAAAAAATCCTATTGCCTTTTGGGTAGTTTCATTGTGATGTTGATGGATCAAAGCTTGTAAACAGGGGTGATTCCAAGAAGGTAGAAGCATTTCCGCATCACTATAGCCGTTGCTTCGCAAAGTAAGAGACGGCTTGTCTCCTCGGCGGAACCATTCACCTGTAAGAGAAAGATGAAAAACAATGGCAGGTTTGTTTGGTTATACAGTAGTCTAATCAACGGTTTAGATAGACAAGTAGAATTTTGGGAATGCTCACCTGACAATTGGAGTAGAATTTGGTGAACTCCTCAGATAAGTAGTAAAGGTACTTGCACAGCACGTTCGGTAACAATGTGGTGCACGCTTCCTCAACCGTCTGCAAGCAAATTGTTCACACAACATTTGTTCATCTTCTTGTTACCAAGAATATCAAAGTACAAATCTAATGAGCATGTGTTTTTTTACCTCAGCAAATTGAAGCAGGTGAAGCCCCAGTGCCCGTTCCGCTGCATGATCCAATGCTATCTTTCCTGTCTGCAATAAAATAAGTGTTAGCACATTACACAGACTTTGTAGGTGTTTGAGTTCATGCTGCTAAAATACCTTTTTTAGCTCATCTATGTCTTTGCCAGACTTTCTTATGATTGAGCAGATCCGAGCATGGGCGTAAAGAAGGTAAACAGCTGTATCTCCCTACATGATCAAAATATTCAATAAGCATGTGTAGATGACTCAATAATGCAAATATGTAGACTAGCTCCAAAATTCCAGTACCTTGTCATTAAGCATTTGATCAAAGCTGAAAGTATAACCCGTCAATCTGTTGGTCTTCAGGTCAGCATACCTTGAAAGCAAATTCAACAAAACCACAAGTCATTTATCACATTTGTGCAGCCTTGGTTACAAAAGTCATCGAAAACCAGAAGATACTAAATAGAATTCACTATCACCAGTACCAGCAATAGAATAGAGATTAATACTTACTTCAGCGCACCGTATCCAACTGCCTCAGCTATTTGGTCCAGCTCCTCAGGTGTCCATTCTTTGTCTTTACCTAAACAGAGAAACAACATATACGGGATGAATAAGACCATATAATGACTGAACAATGAATAGTACAGCAATTTAGAGAGTGCTGACACAAAGTTGGATACCTCGCTCAATAAGGGCAGCTTTACTGCGATCCTTGGCCTCATCTAGCAAATCAACTAGTCGGACTACCTCGTTTGCCCGAGTTCTAAATCGCTTGTTATCAGCTCCAAGGACAAGGCCAAAACCAACATGGTTAACTCTAGGGTAAGTTTTGTCATCGTCTGGAAGCCAGCCTGCTTTTCTGGCAGCCTGATTCAGAGTTACATGATAACCACAGTTACGACTGACAGTTTCAATCAAGACAACATTCACAAGACGTGAAAAACATATTCATGAAACCTACTTTGAAGAACATATGAAAGTGCTGCTGCTGGCCAAGGTCGGTCAAATATATAATCCACTCAGCTTTCTCTTCATTAAGCCGATACCTGGGCCAGGAAGATTTTAGCACCATCAGACAATACGGAAGTAATAATATATGAGATGTATTTTCCAAACATTGCTACTAAAGTCCAGATTAACATAAAGATAGCCCACCAAAGAGCAGTCAGATCGGTAGAGGCATAGTTAAAACCACCGTTACTCTTTACAACTATGAGTGGGATGTTAAAGCCTTCGACGAATATCACACGAGCACCTTCATTTTCTTCAACTAACCCCTTGCTGCTCAATTCCTCAATTACGTTAGCGATATAAGGGTTGTAAAAGCTTTCTCCCTGTCATAAATCAATGTATTTTCCATTACACATCCATGTATATCTCTTTCCCATTCTGTCTCTATAATTTAGTATAGGTCCCAACTATTCCTTTACCTTTTCTTCAAGCTCGACTTGAAGGCGTTGGTACACCTTGGCAAACTCATTTCGGCTGATTTCACAAATCTTAGCCCAAGCCTTGCGGTAAACAGGATCTCCACCCTAAAACAAAGAATTTTTTTTGACAAGTGAGTGATTTAGATTTTGCAACTAAAGGTAGCTGCAAATTGAGACACTGAGAAACAGAAGAATGCACCAGTGATTGAGGATAAAAATTGTTATTTACCTGTAGACGGACCACAGCCTGTTGTGCCTTTTCCTTAAACTCCGGATCCAAATCAAATCTCAATTTTGATTTCTTGTAAAACATCTATCAGAGGACATCAAAAGTTAGAAACTATATTGCTATAGTTTTTCACATGAAGCATATTATGCCAATATTGGTAAAGCTTGAGAAGCCATATGATGCAAGGCAGCTGACCTGAAGATCTCCAATTGCTGTCTCAGTCACACTATCTGAATCAGGAAATTTCTCAAAGAGAAACTCAATCAACATGCCAAACTGCAGAATAAAAGCAGCTTTTATTTCTTCGATAAATTTCGGGAATACAATATAAAAAAAACCTCGGTTTCAAGGTTAAGAAATCATATAAAGGGCAGAAAAGTAGCTAGCTACCTGTGTTCCCCAGTCACCAACATGGTTTCTGCGTAAAACTTCAACCTTAGAGTACTCGAGCATACGAGCAAGCGTGTCACCGATAATAGTTGATCTTAGATGACCAACATGCATTTCTTTAGCAATGTTGGGAGAGGAAAAATCAACTACAGCTCTCTTAACAGAAAGAGTAGGCGCCCATGTATCAATTCCATCAACAAGCATATTTTCAATACTCTGTAGATAGATTACAAAACAATTATGACAAAAACAAAATTATTAATACGAAAGAACTAGAAAATGACTATACAACATGATCACCTTAGCTATCCACTTAGCTGATAGTACAACATTAACAAATCCAGGTCCAGCTATAGAGCATGATTCCACCATCTCAGAACTAGGGAGATTCTTAATAAGAGCCTAGGTGAAAAAGGAAACAGAATACGAGTTAAAAGAGATATCAATTCTGCTTCACAACATACATCACACAAAAAGCCACGAAATTTAAAAGACCAAACCAACAAACTAACCAATCAACCAACCTGTCCAACAGCGGGAGGACCCTTGAACTGCGTACCCTTTCCTTTGATAATGGACCATAGTCCCATTGCATTGTTACTGCAAACAACAACAATATGAGGAAAGAGAAAACAACTTAATTGGTACTTAAAGTGAAAGAGGAAGCACCATTGGTAATCTCCGAATTTGCCAGGCTCGATCAAAGGCTCAACATTAGGTTCATCAGGAACAGTTAATTTAAGAGACACCTCAAAGAGCTTAGCGAGTTGGCGTCTTGGGTTTCCCGTAAATTCTTTATTCTGTCACAGCAATCAACAAAAACAGTCACGAAACAGGGTTTTGTCCAAAAAAAAAAAAATTGTGACTTACAGCTACAATGGTTGCCATCGACAGTATCTACCGAGTAAAAATTGGTGTAATAGTTGAATTATTTCAGAATGACGGAAGGAAAATCTCCGGTGAGATGCGGTGGTGACGGAGGAATCTAGCTGATCTCCGGCGAGGAGAGAGAGAGAGAGAGGCTAATTGGACTTTGGATGAAAAAGCAGAGAAGGCAAAAGGGTTTAGCCGTTTACGTCGAAATATTATACATTTATAGAGAACGTTTGGGCCTTTATTGGGCTTTTAAAGACGGCCCAGGATTTTAATAAAAATGAGAGTCTAGTTTACTTATTAAAAAAAACACAGCTACAAGCCTACAAGCCTACTAGTAGCTTTACAAGTTCTTTGTGAAATTCCAACATCTGGGTGTTGATAGATGCATCAACTTATTACTAATCTTCTGAAATTTAGTTAAAATCTTTTTTTTCTACTCAAGGAATCTGTAACAAAGTTATTCATTATTCTAGCAAAATCTAAGAAGAGACTTGAGACACAAATCCAGAAACTCAAACACAAGATAGTTGAATTCTCCAATGGGTTCGTTAACAATCTACAGAAATAGCTTATCAAGTGAGTAACATAAGGAGGTGAGATTCAGAGAAGGATTAGAGTTAAGAAGAAATAGAAATCAGATGAAAAGAGGAAGAAGAGAGGAGACGAAGGAAGAGATAAACATTTTTGTGATCAGTGATCTATTTCGATAAACGTTTGCCTACTAAAATACATCTCTTTAGATAGAAGACAATTACTAAGATATCAGGCTTAAACAATTAGCCCATTAAGAAGCCCAATAAGGCCCAATTCGTATCCTATCACTAAGCTAACCAGAACGTACCTGAACGCCATCGGCCGGAGAAAGCTGCGGCAAAAACGGAGCCGGACGAAAATTTTGTCAGAGCTTCTTGTGAGGACTTTTCTACTCTATAATCGGGACTATTTTAACATTGTGTATCGTAACCAATTAGAATTATACACGTCATAGACGAAGTCAGTTTCTAATAGATTTGATTTTAAACTGGTTTTAACGTAAGGTCCATTATTCATTTTGGTCATAAAACGAAGTTATTTTTAAGAACACTTCTGAGTAGTTTCTTGATCAAATTTATAAAGTATAGGTTTCTTGTGATTGACACCATTTTAATCAACATAATCTAAAGAAATTTTGTATTTTGATGCTAATGTGACATGGTTTAATCTACAAAAATCATATTATATACCAAAGAATGTGGATATAATTTGGTGTTAACAAAATAAATATTTGAAGAACAAAAAGTTAAACCAAAAATAACTAGAGTAAAGCTGAAATAGCGGGTTTAAGAAAGCTGTTTATTAGCAACAAAGTTCCTTATAAGAACCAAATTCACCATGTACATAAATATCTTGTTTCCCATTAACAAGAATCAAAGTCAAGAATATTTAAGCAAATCTAGAACAAAGCTGAATTAGCGGTTTAGGTAGCAACAAAAAATTCCTAAAGATCTTCACCATATTGCACTTTATTTTGCTGCAAATCAAAAGGGCTAACAAAATCAATTTCACAGTGTCCATAAGTCTTCCCCATTAACAAGAATCAAATTACAAAAATATTCAAATTTTGAGTTCCAATATTCAAAGTTAAACAACCAATGAAGAGACCGAGAAACTCGAAAAATGAGAAATATTTAAACTCAGTTTCAGATTATTATAACTCGAAGGAAGAGTTTGCTAATGACATCATTTGATTTTAATATGGATTCGAACCGTTCATAGCCGAACCGAACCGGAAAAAACCAAACATCACCAAATCGAAGTGAATTTTATTTAATTCGGTTTAGCATTTTTCATAACTTGTTTTGACTGATCATTAATGGAGAATGTTCCTTCTTTGGTTTTCACTTTTCACAATGGTCGTCAATGGGAATATTGAACGAGTAATAATTAAAAAGATTTTGGTACTTGGTATATTTTATCTTCTCGGAATTGGAATTTTTTTCAATATAAATTAGCATATATGAACCAAACAATACATAGTTCAAAGATTCTTTCTCTTGTGTGAGTCTGTCTTATATTTTTTGTTTTGTATTTTTTTTTTCATATCTCAAATGTCAAAGATAAGTCTGAAAATTCTAGTTGATAAAGAGAAAAACAAGATTGTTTTGGTGGAAGCACGTAAAGATTTTGTTGATGTTCTCTTTAGTTTTCTTAAACTCCAAATGGGTACAATCGTAGGATTGGTCAAGAAACAATCTCACCAAGCTTCAGTGGGTTGTTTCAGCAACATTTATCAAAGTGTTTTAGATTTGGAGATTGATAGCTTTCTCACTAAAGCATGTAAACATATGCTTTTGTATCCGAGAGGTTTAAACGATCATATATTCCCAAGGCTGAAGCTAAACATCAACGATACCACCGAGGCTTGCAAGTTCTCTATATGCACAAATTGTAAAGAAGGCACTTTGCGCAGTTCGAATAGACTAAAATGTACATGTGGCGAAATGACGGAGATGGAACGCGAGGATGTAGACTACAACGTTGATGGATTATATTTTTATGGCCAGCCTTCGTTTATCATTACTGATAATATGGTAGTGCAATATAACTCTACTCATGTGTTTCTTAAAGTGATCAAAGATCAGGGTTATGCGGATGTCGAAAAGTTGAGTGAATCACTTCTTGTCATTGGTTCTGAAGAGGTATGTTACTTTGATTTCATTAAGGCTTTACATTGTTCATGTTGCAATACATATTTTGACTCTGCATTTGAACAATAATTAGGTACTCACCTTGTTGGACTGTGTATTCACGTCTGACACTCCTTTGACGGATGCTTTCCTTAGGAAACAAAGCTCGCGTTCGCGAAATATGAACAAGCTCCATAAGACACTGACTTCTCCTGCTTTGCAAGAAAATAGTAAAGCGACAAAATCAGACCTTTTAACCTTCAATGTTGTTTATCGAAAGCAGGACAAGAAGGTTATATATTTTGAGGGCTGTGAAGATTTTGTGAATCTTCTTTTTCAATTCCTTGTTGTTTCTTTGGAGTTTGTGTTGGAAACTTCTGGTGATAATGCGGTTCATGGATGTATCGGTAATCTTTTTAGAAGCTTCAAGGAGTTGAGCTTTGCTAAAAACTCAAAGCTAGTGTCCAATTCAACACTTCCATGGTATTATTGCTGCAAGAAGAAGCTGCTCGATATCAACTACTCTCTGAGTAACCTGTTTTTCGATCTATCTATTTTTACTAAGCCATGGATCTTGGAAAAACTGAAACTGAAACGTCCATGCCAGCAATGTGCTAAATCTAATCATGTATATGCATGCGAGGGTTTTGTGAAAGGAAACATGAAGTTTAGAGTATCAGATGATCTGATCATAACACCTCTGAGCTCAAGCTCGACCATTGGCTATCTAAAGAAGCTTCAGGTGGGTTTAGACGATGTCGACGTGCAAGAGATCACTATCGGCGAAGTAGAGGTAAAAGACATTTTTACCGGCTTCTTTTCCTCTCTTGAGTCTTGATTTTGTCACATGAACATGTGAACACTAAATTTGTCTTTTTGTAACCCATTGTGTTCTCTCTTATCTGCAGGTTAACAATGTATTAAGCACTTCTCTTATGACATCAACGGTTTTAACTACTGCTTTATGGAACTTACTCGTGAAGGAGCCAAAAGAAGAGAGCTGAATTTAGAGAGTTGAAAAAGAAGTTTGGAAGATTGGTTTATTGATTCCATTTAATTGGCAATTTGGCATTATAGTTGGTTCTTTGCCATATTTATGTTGGATTTGGAGTCTTTGTTTAGAGAATCTTAAAGAACTAAATAGACCCTCAAATCTAATGTTCAATTTGATATATTAAGGCAGATCTTTGTTTTATTAACATGTGATAGGTAAATTGAAGATATGTGTATTGTAAAACAATAACAAAACCATATCTCAATACTAAAGCATGTGTCGATCTATTATATGTCATAGTATGTGACGATTGAACTCTATACAATTTGTTTCGGTCTCTTACTATGTCATGAGTTTATGGATCAATTCTAAATAATATGACAGGTTAGTGGCACTTATCTTTGATGATAGATTTTGATCGAAGATGATATTAGAAAGTGGAGACGTTGCCGGAAAATGGAGACGGTGTCGATGAGGTTTCGACAGAAATCTCTTTTAGCTCAGACGGCTAGGGTTTCATGTTAATAACGTGTTATGAATAAAGAGGCTTTGACTGTTATTGATGTATTCCATAAGTATAAGATACATATAGGGATATAATAGTAAGGTTTAAGTTAGATAGCAAGTAATCTAGAACATTCTATAATCTACTAATGAGCATCCATTTTTTTTTTGGCACCCAATGGGCATATGTTTAACATATATGATTATTCATAACACTTGCAAGATTTTTGTTATAGCTTAAACTTTTTGGTTTTTTTGTTAAGGTGTTTGTGGATCACACTACAAAAAACACGGCTTTTAACGTCGTTTGTTTCAATACTTTACGTCGGTGTTAAACAGACGTGAACATTTTAACGTCAGTTTCTTAAACGTCGTAACATTGCATGACGCAAACATTTTTGGCTTCACTTAAATAAATGACGTCATGTTTAGCGTCAAAAGAATAACGTCGGTTTGTTTTGAATTTAGCATCGGTTTTAGTTTGACCTTAAAATTTTAGCTTAGTGTCAATTATACAACCGACGCAAGTATGCATCATTTTCTATTTATATTAATTATTTATTAAATGTAATAAAAATAATAAGAAACATAATTCAACTAATAATTTAAAAAGCTGATCCATATTATTCCATTTATTAAATTTATTTGTTTATACACAAAATAATATAATTTTGTAACTCTGTCTTACAAAAGATAAACATATTATTACAGGTACAATTAACAGCTTAACCAATTCCATTACCAGCTGAACCAATTCCATTACCAGCTGAACAACATATTATTTGGGGATCGAGATAACCAAATGCTCCTATGATGTTAAGAGTGTGTTTACCTTGATACTAGCGAACGAATCGTTCATGAGTTTTGCCACTTCTTCATCTTCAAATGACCCAACTTCCATGACACGGCACCTGAAACAATAGTTAACTGGTACTTAAACAGACATTCCAAAATAGGAAAAAAAAATAAGCTTGCTCTAGCTTCATTACTATGAGGAAAGAAGAGTAATAATACTAATAAATCCAGAGTCTTTTACTATGTCATTCATACTCTTAATCTTCCAATTCAGTAAAAGAATTTAATTCAAAATCCAAAAAACATATTAAAGCCTCACCAGTGACAGGTACTGTATCCAACTTCAAGATTCCATATCAAAGACAGTAACATATGTTTACAGAAATTCAGTGGAAAAACATGATTTCCATGTGGGATTCAAACTGCCAGCCAATTAACACACCTCAAGAAGTAGTTTGCAGTGATGAACTTTCTCATTGCCTTCTATCAGAATCTGAACTGCATCATAAGCACTATTTGTAATCTACGAAATGGAAGAAAACCATAAGATAATGAACAAATTCTAAAAATGTGATGCATTGAAGGTAAGGAAGTAACCCAGACAGTTCCCATAGCTCTAAATCTTGGCATGTTATTAACAGATAACTGAAATAAAAACCTTTGCGAGTAAGACACATTACTTACCATGTACTTGAGGCGAGAAAAATGAACATACAGCAGTTCGGTGGTTTCTAAATTTTCTTTTCCAACTAGCGTTTTATTCGGAGCTTCTCTGTACGTAGTAACAGTAGCTTCAAAATTACCCTACATGGAACATCTGGTTCAAAATCAGATATCTTGACCACTGAGACATCAAAACCATATGGTACCAAGTAGTGTATCATTCTTACCAGGCACTTTTCCATGTTAGCCTGCTTAGTTACATTTACAACAAAACCAAAACGAAGTTCCTCACCACATCGAGAGAGAGCAACTGAAGCAGCAAATCACAAGTAATACAAGTTCTAGTATTCTCCAAGTGTTATTGACATCTGAACCTTCTCCAACTCCAATTGTATAGTGAAGTGGTCAAAGATTGCATTTTTTGCAACAACCTATACCACAAAACCTTAAGCTCAGCAAGAAGAAAAATTGCAGAACAAGAATCAAACATAGCAAAGGCTATAATAACTTGTAGATAGGTGAGGTTTATGGTTCTATGAGACAATGTACCAGACATGCATTGGCTAGGAAGTCCCCTGTTTCATTAAGAAAACAAGACAGTCTCAGTCTCAGAAATAGTGCAGAGACATAGCCATCACTGCAAGTGACCATTCTCCAACTACAAGGATCAACTAAATGCACATCCCAATTCTCAAGAACATTTTACAGATCATTCAATTCAAATTTAGATTGAAAGAACAAATCTAGCCACAAATTCATATGAATTCTCTTGTTACCAATTCACCATAGTTTTCAAGATCGAAAGAAACTTAGATTCAGTAAGAAGAGTACCTAAAGTTCTCTGTAAATTTTGAGGTTCACCACCGCTGAAAATTCTTCCCCAAACCCACTATATCCTTCATAAACACAACAAATTCGAAGAAATCTATGGCGTACCAACCTTGTTGAGCTATTGAAGACGCGAATTTCCGGAGATGGAGAAGAAAAAACTCAAATGCTGAATCGAATCAAGAGATGAACAATTCACAACACAATCGGAGAAGCAGGAAACGGAATCCTCTGGTGACTAATTTAAGTTCTGCGATTCCGACTTTGAGAAGCTTTCTCAGTGAATATTCATGGATCAAAATCGACGAAGCTCCGGCTTTGAGAAGCTTTCTCTGTGAATATTCGATGTAAGTTTGCCAGAATCGACGAAGCTTTCTCACACTTTAAGCTTTACCAAAATCGACGAACCTTCGTGTAAGGGAAGAGATTTTGATTCTCAACATAATTTTGAGATTTCGATTTATTAACCTAATTTTTTATGTTTACACGAAGCTTTCTCTGCAAATGAGTTAATAAATTGTCGTCGGTTTATTACGTCGTTTATTACGTCGTTTATTAAACCGACGCTAAATCCCTTCCCACTTTATATCTTTACGTCGTTTATTGAACCGTCGTTACTAAACTAACGTTATCTAATAAATCTCTTGTAGTGTCACCTAAATTTTGTAAGGTTGAATTCATTTGGTTTTATTTTATTGGTCAACCATACTTTTTGACACTATCATGTTTGTGTTTCAATTTAACAAATTTTAATTAAGGCCATAAGAAAATACTAACCACACAAATAACTATATATACTGCACTATTGATGTCATTTGATTCAAATTGGAGTTCATATTACTCAAAAATGAATCGTTTTCTAATTTTATGTTTGTTGCTGCGACATGTTTTGGATTGAATGTAGCATTTGACATGTTCCCATGTCCGAGTAACACTATTCTAATTACGAACGAGCTTGGTCCCAGTTTGGTTCTTCAGTACCATTATCATTCAAGAGACAACAATCTAAATGTTGAAAATTTACAATTCAATGAAACCAAAGGTAATCAACTTCGGAGACAAGTTAGGGAGAAGGACAAGTTAATGTAATTTAGAAAACGCTTAGCGTATTAGCAATTACCTTTGAGATTCAACATATTTATTATTCCAATAATCATAGATTTTGTTTACAATTTTTAATTTTCTTTAAACTTTTTTAAATGTATAAATTAAGTTAAATTTAGTATTGAATTATTTAGTAATTGAGGCTAGGCTTTTTTTTTTTTTTTTTTTTGGGCAAAGCAAGGTAGAGTCTAAAATTAACTTTTTCTCATTTGCAACTTCCAAAAGGCCAAATAGTCACTAATCTTTTTTTTTGTTGATAAAATGGTTAATAGTCATTAATCTACATGACATGCAAATTCAAAAAGCTTAAACCTATAACAATCACAAATTTTAATACATTGATTAATCATTGTGATGACCGGTAGGTACACATATATCTTTAGTTAATTTTCATTGTAAGCTCATTGAATCTATGGCAGTTTTTTTTTTTGTTAATATTCATTGCAAGTTTATTATACATATGGCAATATCAGTATGGGATTTCTACTTAACCATATAAGTTGGGTTTTTTTTTCTTAATTGTATCGAACATTCCTTGTTTGTTTGTTTGAGAGAAGGATTGACATAACCATGTGAATGTATCATTTATTTACTTAGCCTTTTGAGAGAAATTCCTTGATCACTAGAAACTGATGAGTCAGATTCTTGGTATGAGCATCGCTTTCCAAAGAATGGTAACAATCAGAGATATTAGCATTTTTCTATCTATTGAATTAGATTATTAGACTATCTTGAAAAGACTATTAACATAGGTTTGACAAAAATGTTACACAATCTGCCTCTTCACATGGTTGTTATCAAAACCCAATGTATTAATCATAAAAACTTGCGACACATTAGCAACCCCCAGCGGAAACAGATACCAGTAAGACTAACAAAATGTCAAATACAAAGAACAAAAGTGATTTACATAATCTAGCATGGTCATGGTCATAATCTAGTATAGTCAGTCACAACTAAATGTGACTAACATGGTCTGGTGACGACCACGTTTTTACTAATTTGTAAGGATATATATATATATATTTAAAAATTCAAGTGTGTGCAATGACATTATTGGGGGTATTATGATGATTCATGAGATAACTTTCTATCAACCTAAAAGCTATAACAGAAAATGATGCTACCATCATAATATTTAGGCTTTGCTTGTTGGTACTCATCATCAAGTGTTTGGCGGAGCTTAACAGCCTGCATTTGTACTGTTAACATAATGTGCTAAACATATTAGATAATTTACAAAGTCTATGTCAATTCCAATCACATTGGAAGTAGAGGTGGAAACATCAGAACAAAAATAAAAGGGAACTCGCCAATCACATTTCGGTTTGGTTCCGGTTCTTTCGGTTCTAGAATATAGGATTTATTCGGATATTTTCAAATTTCGGTTCAGTTATTTTTGCTTTGGTTCCGGTTCAGTCCTTTCGGTTCGGTTAATGTGTATTACAAGGAATTTTAGATTGATAAGTATATAGCAATTTTCATATTTTATTTTACCAAGCAATGTTACAACATTTTAATCTTTAAATAAATTACGAATTAATTTACTCGTTTATTAATGATAATGCAGTGTATGTACAGTACAAATGTACAATACATTAATTATTTATCATTGTTTACTTTTATATTATAGTTGCTCCCTCCGCTTTATTTCAAGTGTGTTTAATATTCTTTCAGTTTCATAGATAGTGTCGTTTTAAGATTTAATGTGTGTTTTACAAAAAAATTCATTTTATATTTCTAATGTAAAATTTCAAATAAAAATCTAATTTTAACCCTATTGCTTTAAAGTACTAATCTTATCTTATTTTATTATATAAAGTATGGTTTTCAAAGTTAGTAATTCATAAGATTGTGTCACGTGTCAAGTCTATTGATCAGATGTTGACATGTGTTAGAAAAGAGTTAACTTTTTTTTTCTTAAAGAAATAGAAAAACTAAAAAAAAAGACAAATTTATATATACTAATTTTTATGTCTATATCTAAAAAAATATTTTTTCTTAACCAAAAGAAAAATTAACAAATTTGTTTTTACATGTGTTATTGGTCAATTAAATTTAGCATATATTATTTTTTTTAAAACATTTAGTATGGATATTAAATAATTAAAAAGCCCACTGAAGTTTAAAATAAAAATATAATTTATTTAACATTAATTTAATTGGATAAAATTGTATTTATCATTGTAATATAGTGTTTTCATTCGTTAAAATAAAAAACAAATTAAAAAAAAAAATTAATGAGCTTATGATAATAACTTTTTGAATACTTATGTTTTATTCTAAGAATTTTAACGCATCATGTGATGGATGTGCTTGCATCATTTGATGTGTTTTCGCAAGTTTATACTTATGTTTTATTATAAGAATTTTAACGCATGTAGTCATAAGTGAAAACACAATTTTTTTTTTGGAAAAATGGCTTATAGGATTGACTTTTAAATTACTTAATGAGAAGTTAATATAATTTTATTTCTTAATTTTAATTCATTTAAAATTATTTTGCATGAGGTAAAATTAACTTACGAGATTACGCCATAAATAAAAAATATATATATTTAAAATGTTTGTTATCCAAATATTTTTGTGGATTTCTGTTTTTTTGTTAATTATGTTTTGTTAATTGTTAATTATTTTTAATATTAACTAAGATATATATTTGGTCTGATATAAATATTATTTTGATATAAAATTGTTATCACTTAAGATGAAGTGTGTAGAATTATAATCAAGTTTATTATGATAAAATAGATAGTTAAACTGTATTGTAAAATTCAAATACTATCGTTAAAAATTTACAGTTATATCTTATATAAGTATATTAACAGTTATAGATATCTATATATATCACACTTTTCTCTCATTATATTTCATTACATTTTGTCTTCCTTTTCTATAAAAAGATTAAAAGATGCAATCTCTTTTTTTTTTTATTCTCCTATCTATGTTTATTCCAAAGTTACAAGGGTTTAACCTAAGTATCACCCTAAAACAATTTAACGTAGATATCATCAAAGCAGTGGGTCTACGAAATTACCGGGATGTAATATTTTACGGAGAAGTTAATGTGGGAGACCTAGGCTAATCATTCAAGATGGTGTTTGATCTTGGAAGCAGCGACCTCTGGGTTCCTTCACTATTGTGGCCTTACAGTGGACACCCGAAATTTAATGTCTCAAAATCAAGCACCTACATATCTAGTCTTATTATATAAAGTGTAGTTTTCAAAGTTAGTAACTCATAGGATCGTGTCACGTGTCAACTTTATCGATCTCATATATTGACACTTGTAAAATAAAAATTCCCTTTCATTAATTTTAAAAGTATAAAAAAATAATTATAAGAAATTATAAATTTAAACAATTTTACAAATGTAAAAATATCACTACAAAGTAACTATACTTATATATCTTACATACAAAATGTAAAAAAAAATATAAGGAAACTATATGTATCTTATTATATAAAAATAAAAAATTATAAAATTATTTACTTATTCTAATTTGAAGTTAATATTCTAAAAGTAAAAGGATTACTTTTGCCTTCAAAATTAAAAAGAGGTTTTAAAAATTATACAATTAATTAATAAAATACGATAATTAAGGAAATTACACAATCAATTATTAATCCTCAAAGAAAAAAAGATTCTAAATACTTACCTCTATATAAACAAATAGATAGTAACTATTTATATGTTTACATAACTAAAACCAGTGGTAAAGAACATACTTCAACATTAAAAAATAATTAGATGAAAAAAAAATATTTAGTAGTAAAGTAAATAGTAAATTTGTTAATTGATGTAAATAATCAGGATTTAACATGTTGTTTGTATTTAAAACACTTTCTAAGAAAGTTGTTAAATTATTTTTGGCAAAAATGCAAAACTACGTTTTGGCAATAATAATAATGATAAATATTTGACAAAAGTTTGGTGTTTGATATTGAAAGTTACTAAATTGTTATAATGAACGTTACAATAAATTTAAAGTATAGAAATGCAATTTGATGTATTAAAGCAGAAGAATGAATATATAAATAACTTTTTCTCTAAATAAAAATTTATATATTTTTTTAATTTTAATGATAATTTCTACTTACAACCAAACATAATTTAATTTAATTTATTTTTAAATTCGATTTAATTAAAAAATTAAACCCGTCCTTCGGATGGGTCCTAATCTAGTATAATATAATAGATAAATTTATTTAGTGTATTAATATTGTGTAAAGAAGAATTTTCACTAGTCTCTTTTCTTAATATGTGCGAGAACTGTAAAATAACATTTTGGTGAGATAGATGAGTAGCATTCAACTTATTATTACATATCAAAAATGATTAATTGACATATGTGATTATGCCCTTCGTGAAATATCCCATAAAATTGGCATATGTGACTTTGTCTCACTGAGCTAAAATTTCTTTTTTTGTTCCACGTAAAATAGATTACTTAATCGATGTTTGAAAAATAAAAAAAAATATATATCAAAAAAGAATTATGAATCAACTTCCACATTTGCTGTTTTGACAAAACAAGATTGAAACTAATAAATGACTCAATATCATGGATCTCTCTCGGCAACATGAGTTAACCTGGCTTAGAAGAGCTTAATATAGTCATACTTAAGTTCTAGCACTCCCAAGCCTTTTTCAGATGGTGAAACCTTCTAGAGCCATCGAGAAACCTTACGCTATCGAAAGGTATGACACATAGCTGAAACACTTTTAATTATTATAGCTTTTGATATGTCATATGTTCAAAATTAGTTCAAAAAAATAACTATGGTTTATTCATAAAATCATGTTTTGCTTATTTGACACATGTACAATGGAGTTTTCTAATAGCGCTTACAATGTTATCGTCATGGAACTCATTTCCAAATTCTTTCTTTTAAATATATATATAAACATGTCAATAATAAATAAAATGTGTAGTACCTTATGACTCATATTTTTAGTGCATGGCATGTTAATTTTGTAGACTCTTAAGAACAAAATTCTGATTTTACCTCCACATAAAAATTGAAAGAAAAAAAAATCTGCTAGACTAGTGGACCCAAAAAAAAAGAGATGTTGATATAATAAATATTTTTTTGGAAAATTTAATAATCCAATCAAATTATTACGGAAAATATGATTTTCTGCTAGCTAGATTGATTAAAGATAAAATTTAAATAATTATTAAGTACCAAAATAATTAAACTTCACTAACGCTTGTAATTATTCCCATGTGACTGGAGCTAAACTCTTTCTATAATTGAGTTTCCAAAATTGTGCTGTTTTCAAAATCCACGTTTATGCAATAGTGCAAGCAGATTCTGAACCACATCTTCTTCTCTGTTATAAAATCCCAAAATTCACAGTGAAGAAGAAAATCAAATCAGCAACAATGGAAGAAGAATCTCAAACCCTAATTCTCACAATCCTAATCCTAATCCTCATCCTCACTCTCACAATTCTCCTCATCAAAAAACTCAAACCAAAACCAAATCTCCCTCCATCTCCACCGTTCTCACTTCCAATCATCGGCCACCTCCGCCTTCTCAAACCACCGCTCCACCGTATCTTCCTCACCATCTCCAAATCCTTAAACAACTCTCCGATCTTCTCCCTCCGTCTCGGAAACAAACTCGTTTTCGTCGTTTCTTCACACTCAATCGTCGAAGAATGCTTCACGAAAAACGACGTCGTTCTCGCGAATCGTGCAAAATCAATTGCTTCTAAACATATCTCGTACAATTACTCATCTATGGTCTCTGCTCCGTATAGTGAACATTGGAGAAATCTCCGCCGTATCGGCGCCGTCGAGATTTTCTCCAGTCACCGGCTTAATAGCTTTTCCTCTATCCGCCGCGACGAGGCCCGACGACTTATAGTTCGTCTCTCTCAGAACTCTTCACTCGTATGTGAGCTTAATTACTATATTTAGACAGTCACTAATTTGGTTATTAATTTACTTACTAATTTAGGATAGTTTTAGATCTTAATCATTAATTATGCTATTGGCAAAATCTATTTTAATCAGAATCTGTTACCAATTAAATAGAGGAAATTTAGATCTTAGTTACAAAATTTTGATGAATATTAAAGATATTAATCTCTTGTTTAGTCTCTGTTTAGGTTAAAGTTTTCTGAATTGTGACACTGAAATTTGCAGGAATTCGCAAAGGTTGAGATGAATTCAATGTTATCTAATTTAGCATTCAACAACATTATTAGAATGGTGACTGGAAAATGTTACTATGGAGATGGTGCAGAGGATGATGCGGAGGCTAAACGCGTGCGGCAGCTTATCGCAGAGGCGATGAGTTGTTTTGGTGCCGGACACGCGGCTGATCATTTACCGGTCTTGAGATGGATTACAGGTTTCGAGAGGCGGGTAAAGAAGATTGCTGGTAGGCTTGATGTGTTCTTCCAGGGATTGGTTGATGAGAAACGAGCGGCAAAGGAGAAGAAGGAGAACACGATGATTGATCACTTGCTTTCTTTGCAAGAATCCCAACCTGAGTACTACACAGACCACACCATTAAAGGAACTATGCTTGTAAGTAATCCGTGAAGAGCGTTTTAAGTTCATAAGTCGATTTAAGTTAATGGTAACATTTGGTTTATTTCGTGTATGTGTGCAATGTGCAGTCTCTTATACTTGCGGGGACAGATACATCAGCGGTAACGTTGGAATGGGCATTGTCGAGCCTGTTGAACCATCCCGAAGTACTAAAAAAGGCGAGAGATGAAATCGACGATAAAATTGGCTTAGACAGGCTTTTGGAAGAATCAGACGTTCCAAATCTTCCTTATCTTCAGAACATCGTCTCTGAAACGTTGCGCTTGTACCCCGCAGGGCCCTTGTCCGTCCCGCACGTCGCATCAGAAGATTGTAAAGTAGGGGGTTACGATATGCCGCGTGGTACTATGTTATTGGTGAACGTCTGGGCTATACATAGAGATCCTAAGCTATGGAATGATCCCACGAGTTTCAAGCCAGAGAGGTTCGAGAAAGAAGGAGAGACTCATAAGCTACTGGCGTTCGGGTTAGGAAGAAGAGCGTGTCCAGGGTCCGGACTGGCTCAACGGTTAGTGAGCTTGAGTCTCGGGTCTTTGATTCAATGCTTTGAATGGGAGAGGATTGGAGAAGAAGAGGTGGATATGACTGAAGGTGGAGGACTCACAATGCCTAGAGCTAGACCTTTGGTAGCCATGTGCCGAGCACGTGCCTTTGTTGGAAAAATTCTACATGAGTCTGGTTGATTTTGTAACTTTTGTAAAGGCTAGCTATTACATGTGTTTAGGTAATGGTTTGTGTCTGTATGTTGGATTTATTACTATACTGGTACTATGTAAAACGATGAATTCATTACAATTAAAACGGAGGATACATGACAGTAAATCGATTAATTATGACAACAAAACACATCACTAATCTCTTAGTGATTTTTTTTTTTTTTTTTGTCTTAGACAAAGTTTTATAAGTGAGTTCTCTCTTATTGGAAGGTAACAAACAGATGATGATGATGATATTAGGCCTTGTTCTAAAAATCGGCCGCCTAGCCGCCTAGGCGGCCGCCTAGGCGCTGATCGGAGGAGCACCGCGGCGATTTTGTCCAAATCGGTGAGAAAAATCGGAGATCCGATTTTTGTCCGCCTGGACCGCCTAGGCGGCCGCCTAGCCCGCCTAGACGGCGCCTAGCCCATTTTTTTTTTTTTTTTTTTGTTTTTACTTTTTTTTTTCATCTAAAATTCAAAACGTCCTACTTATGTTCGTAATTTGTATAAAAATCATAAATTTGAAATTAAAATCTTGTTTTCATGTGTTTAATACAATTTTAAAAACAATATTATATAAATTACTTAATTATAATGGATTAATATGTTTTTAAAATATTAAATAGCCCTAAAACTAATCCCCGATTAATCCCCGTGTAATCCCCGATTTTCTTGCTAGGCGCTAGGCGCACCCTCACCGCCCGACTAGCGCCTAGCGATTTTTTGAACACGGATATTAGGTGATAGTTTATACCTTTTTTACTTGAACTAATGGCTATGTGGTTCGTCTATGCAGTATCACACGAATCCGCTTGTCGTCTGTATTTGATTATACCCGCACGAACCTCCTGACCCATACACAACCGGCAGTCTAAGTTGACACCTAGTTCAAAACCCTCTGCAAGGGTCTTATGCATATTAGCTTTACGTGGATGTCTCTCCAGTCTGCTAAGCGCAGTTCAAGGTACTGAAATACGCGCGCTAACATTTCTACTGCACATTCCTTTGTAGACGCCTACCAAGGTAGTATTCCCTTGAAGTTCTAGGCCGATATATTTCGCGTCACGTAGAAACCTATATCATAATTCCCACAGTAAATCGCTTTAACATATCTACGATCAAAGAAAAAGCCTTGGACATAGTCGCAGTACCATTGTAAGCACGCATGTGTGAAGTGATCTAAACAAAGAGGTGAAGAGATTGAGAGCACGGTTCAATTACTTTAGACTAGTATGATCATATCATATATTTTCCAGAATACCAAATTTAAGTTTTTGTAAATGCATTTACTAATAATTTGTTTTCTACCACAAATTGTCAATACATTAAAACTTTAAACAATTTGAAATAAGAGATATGAAAAAACCAGTTTTACAAAATTTAATCAAAATATAAGCAAACAAACAAATGATAAAACAATAAAAGTTATAGGTTTAAATTTGAGATCCAAATCAAAAATCATCTACGCTATAAAATGTAATACAACAAAATACTACAAAAAGAAAACAGTTTATGAAAGTAAATCTAGTTAACTAGTAATTTAGGTGACTTGTGCCACAAACCATATTTCAAACATGAAAACTTTCTAAGTTCCTTCATTTAACTTGATAGCTTGTAGAAGCAATCAAGTAATACGCTTGCTTGTATAAGATTCACTATAATATCGGATGTAGCCATTGGAGTTGGAATAATCTGATTCAAGTAAAATTAATGTGAAGATAAATAAAAAATGTTGTGATTATGATATTTTATTATTTTCTGATATATCAATGAACTGATAAATTAATATTTATTTCTTATAAGATAATTTCTTAAAAAATCAGTTATCCCCTTTAACAAAAAAAAAATTCACTTATTCTTCAAGATTTTACTGTCAGATTTTTGAATGAAATGAGTTAGGAAAATCTGACTAAAGTGAAATCAATGTTAGGGATGTTATCAATCTAGCAGTCTCGGTTGATTTGGACAACTAATTTTTTTTTTTTTTTTGATAAACGAACTAAATTTGCGTAAAATACAATATAATTTGTTTTTCGACGTTGCATGATTCATTTTATGATACAATATTAAATAATTTAGATGAATCCATGTGAAAGCCAGATTCATTAATTTGACGATCGTGAACTTAGTGTTTTTACGCACAAGTTCTTACCAGTTACCAAACTGATCATCATACATATATAACTCAAATTATTTTTAGTGTATTAAACAATCGTAAAATTAAACAATCGTTTAAATTAAGATAGCTCAGCACATTATGTTTTAATTTTTTTTATTTTATTACCATAAAATAAAAACCTCAAACTTTGTTATGTATAAATTCTTGTGTTTATTCAAGGGTTTTGTGCAAAAAACCTCAAAGTCGCTAATTTTTGCAATTTTTACTCTCTATCTCTAAAAAAATGCAGAATAATTCTATGAAATCCAAAATAATAGGCAAAGAAAACCTTTGGTCATCGTATCTCTAATAAGTCTAAGCGGCTCGACACCTATCTGATTATTCTGATGAATTATGATAAACAATGAAAGCATCGAATTTAGTGAGTTGAAAACATAAAAAAAAAAAAAAAAAAAAAACTAACCAGGAATAAACGATTGCATAGAGACATGCACGTCCACGACGCGAGTCGAAAAAAGACAATACAAAAAATCAATAAATAAGCATTATTAAAATATATGAAACAAAAATCATTAACTAGACATAAAATATTGGCTTAATGGCTATATTCTATAACGACTTAACGAGTGAGACACGGCACATATTATATACACACTCTTTTTTTTTTTTTTGTCGTCTAGAAATTTTAATTAAATTTGAAATAAAACCTTACAACAAACCAAATGCCCAAACGAGAAAAACGAAGTTGGCGAACTAAAAGTTCCCAGAGACACAAGCCGGAAGAAAACGAGACATCTCCGGAAACTAAACTCAAAACTAAACCCAAAGAGACGGAAAATAAGCAACAACACTACGAAAGAATAACTATGCCAAAACAAAGAAGGCAAAGGTAGCACAATGAAGGAAAAATCAAACCTCTAACTCAGAATCTAGCACCACACAAATTGCCTACCATCAATCCAAACAGCGGGAAACGCTTGACGTAGTGGCTGACCGATGGTGACGAGAAAATCCACGACACCGGACAACGACTCTTCCTTTAACAATGAAGACTACCTCACAAATAAAGAGAACTAAAGCATCTTTACCAGCAAGAAGGGAAGACGACTAGAAACCACACCCAACTCCTGGAAACGGTGAAATCGAAGCAAAGGAAACAACCACGATTTGTTCACGCCAAGAAAGATACCAATGCAATAGAGAGACCTCGATCAGGTCTATACCGTAGAGACAAGGACTGAGTCCAAACAATCCGCATCGAACCGAAGAGTGGAAACGGCAAGAGCACGAAAAAGATCGAACAACAAGCGAACGCGGTAGGACATAGACTAGGCAAAAGAACAAGATGCTTAACCACAAAAGACTGAATATAGAACTGATTCCACCACATCCACCAACCCACCAACAATGAAGGCAAACAAACGGGAACCCAAAAGAGAATCGAAGAGAACAAGGCTAACGAAAGAGCAAAGAACAATTACCAAACCACTAACGCCTAATCACTAGGGGTACCGTTGCAACCCTACCCAAAGGAAGAGAGCCAGACCTCAAGTAAAAATTATCCGCCGCTGTAACCGCCGATAACAACCTTCGTCGAAACCCAAATCTGAGAGGACAAAGGAGAAATCCAGGATTTCTCAAACTAGAGAAAAGGAACTTCATCCACACCAAAAGCCATCGACGAATCAAAGAACACATCCATGACCCATTCAGATCTGAGATCCAAAAATTCTTCACCTTGCCAACAACAACCAAGACTCCAAAAACCGAAAAAGACTAAGCAGACATAAAGAAAAACAGACGGAGGGACCGACGCCAGTGCTATCTAAGCCGCCACGCGCCGGTCACGCACATATACACACTCATATTGGCTAGTTTTATTCGGTCCACTTTTAATTGCCTATAACGAGTGACGGATAAGTCAAATTTGTCACACTTTTCATTTGGCTAATTTTAATGATTGTAATGTTTTTTCCTTTCTTTCAAATTATTTCGTCAGTACCAAAGAAAAGGAACATCAAATGACGTAATGTCGACAAGGAACTAAAACATGCATGTCGATGTCTTTTAACCAAAAAAAGAAGAAGAAGTAATGCTGCATTTTCTAAGTTATCATTTAGGAATTAATTAAGTAAGTAGATGATACTTTTCTTGAATCTCCATTTACATACCAATTTTCGAGAACGGAATAACAAAACGGTATCTTTGTGAGCAAAATATAACGGTTTTCTTCTTCATTAGCTCCACCTATTTGATGAATTATGATAAACAATGAAATAATCATCGAACATAAAACAAATAATGATACACTTTAGTTGGTTGAAAACATAAAAGAAATACTAACTAGGACAAAACTTTACACACAACAATTGCATATTCTCTAACGAGTGAGACACGGCACATATACAACCACACATTGGCTATACAATTGTAGTTTCGGTTATCATCACATTACGCTTTTCATTTGGCTATTTCTCTTTATTATATCCACTTTTAACGAGTGACGATAAGTCAATATTTGGTCACGCTTTTCATTTGGGCTGTTTTAAAAATCCCCGCCTAGGCCCGATTACTCCCCGCTTAATCGCTAGGCCCACCCTATCCGCCTCGATTAATGACTAATCCCCTAAAAAAATCAGTTACCCGATTACTCTCCGCCTAATCCGATTACTTCCCGCCTAATCCGATTACTCCCCGCCTAATTTTACATATCTCGATTATTTTTAGATTGCAAGTATAAAAAACTTTTTATTTTTGTTATTCAATCATTTAAATTGGGAGTTTGTGATGTTTTACAATAACTTATGTTCAAATTTTAATAAAAATCATAAATTTGTAATAAAAATCATAAAAATTTATCTCAAAAATACAGTTTTATATGTTTACTGCAATTTTGAAAATAATATTTGATTAATATGTTTTAAAAATATTAAAATAATTCTAAAATTAATCCCCGATTAATCCCCGATTTTAATCCGATTTTCCGATTAATCGCTAGGCCCATACCTAGCGCCCGACTAGCGCCTAGCGATTTTTCAAACAAGGCTATTTTTATTGATTCTAATATGTTTTTTTTTTCCTTTCTTTTAGCAAATTATTTCGTCAGCACTTAAGGAAAGGAAGATCAAATGACTTAATGTCGACAAGGACTTAAACAACATGTCGATGTCTTTTAACAAAAAGAAAGAAAGAAAAAAAGTCTTTGGGGGTTAACGGGACTACGGTACAAGTGTGGTTTATGTGTGTTTGAAGATAAAATGCTTATCTTGATCATTCGACAACGAAAACTTCAAATAAAAGTAGTTGTGATGAAAATATTAAAATAAATACTTTGACTCACTTTCGGGTAAATGCTAAAATAAATTATTGAATACGTCATTTCGATCGTACATGTGTGGCTTTCTAATAGTGGTTGATTTTTATTTTATTTTAAGTGCATAAAACAAAAACATACATGGCTGTAAACAAACAAAAAAACAAAAAAATACATGTTAATTTTGTTGACAAATACAAAAGACCGAAAATCTAATGTGAACAAGAATCTTTGTCTTATAAATACATAACTAGACTGAAGCACAAATTAAAGCTCAAACCAAATACCTCAAACACAAGAAATGGTTTCCAACATTGATCACAAGGCTTTAGAAGCACTCCTCCATGGCCAAGGATGCGCTAACAGCCTCAAGATTCTCCTCGAAAATGGCGAAATAAGTTCAGTTTCAACAGAACCACTCATCAACACCATTCTCGATTCTTTCTCGCTTGCTCTGTCTTTTGTGGATTCTCCTAATCCTCCACCATACCATGAGTCCTCTTCTCAAAACATGGCAAGACCTATGCCCCGGAGATCATCTAAGGAGTACGTTACCAACAAAAATCTAAACTCAAGTTGCATATGTTCTATGAAAAGTTTCAAGAGTTTTTAATTCAAATTCAAGTGAAGTAGCACATGTTTCTATATCTTACTTTATCATATCTTCTATAACTTAATTTCGAGTTTAGATGCAAGTGTCTTCTATATTTTCGATAATTTCTATAGTGCAACAACGCAGAAAACTTTGTGGAGCACAAGGTTTAGTGAATTACAGAGATGATTCCCCAACTCCGTGCCCCAATGATGGCTTTGCCTGGAGGAAATATGGACAAAAAACCATCAAAACCTCACCGCACCAAAGGTTAGTCAATTAGGTTAACTAGAAAAACAGAGCAAATGCTCTGTTCTTACAAAAACGAAAGTGAATTCTCTTCTTTGTTCTATGCAGGACATGTAAATAGTGTAGTAGCGTTTATTTATTTATTATATAAGTTGATAGATAAAAGTGCCATATTTACAGGTGTTACTATCGGTGTACCTATGCAAAAGACCAAAACTGCAATGCTACAAAGCGGGTGCAGAAGATCAAAGACAACCCTCCAGTGTACAGAACCACGTATATGGGAAAACATGTGTGTACTGCTTCTGTAGGTCATGATGATACACACAGTTCCAAAATGATCCAGTTCGACCAAGTTGTTTCTGAATTGGTTATGCCTCAGCTCACAACGATTGACCACCAAGTAATTACCATGGAGGACAAAGTCACAGACTATATCATGAACCAAGAATGTGATATCGATATTAATGATTATTTGGTGGGTTATGACCAATTTTGGGCGAATCAATTTCCCCCATTTCCATCAGGTGACACAATGTTTTTGGATAACATTGCTGCTTTTGATTAGAACCCTATCCACGTTTGAACAACATATCTATCAAGCTTTTTATGTTTTCATGGTGGAGATTGATTGATTCTTCACTTCTTTTAATTTCAGGTTCATGTTTCGTAATTTAGATTCATATGCTTTAAATTTACAGTGTCTTTTTGTGTAAAGAAGTTTCATCTATCATGTACTTTTGCGTTTATTCAGAAAATAAAGAAAGGAAAAAGTAATATCTATATAACTTTTGAGAGTGCCCTTAATTGTTGATTCATAAAACGAGTGGATTAATAGATAACAAATGATTCGTTTATCACTAATACTTCAATGTTTTGGGTAAAAAAAGAAGTTAAATTTTCATGAGGAAAGTAAAGTATTTTTAATTTGATTTATGCCTATCATGCGATTACTAATGAATATATAATGCAATATATTCGGTCAAATTATTTTGTAACATCATCACTTCTGTGGACAATTCCGATTGCTTGAGCAATAGCTGGAAGAACTTTATCTATGCCATTATGACCAGTTTATTCAACCGAGTGACTAATCCTGCTAAATTATCAGGAAATGGAAACTTGTCTTACATCATCAATACATGATCTTCGTGGGATGAAGAAAGAGACGAAAATAGTACAAAAAATCTATCATTTTTCAGCCGAGAACCTATTAATTAATTATTAAAAAGAAAACAATGGATCATTTTTTATGTCATATCCTTATTTATACTCTCTCTCCATTTTAATAAGTTTCAAATATTTTAGTTTGTTGTTTGTTACACTAGTATATATTATGTTTTAAATATTTAGTGTAAAGTAATGTTGTATTTCCTAATTTATCTACACCACTAATATTCAACAAAATAGAAATTAAATTTAAATTTCTTATTTTGGAATGAAGTGAGTAGGCGATACTTTTCTTGAATTGGCCTTTACACATCAACGACCAACCTCAAGAACAGAATAACAAAACGGATGTTCATGAGCAAAACTTAACTTTTTTCTTTCCCGTTAGCACTTATATTATATATTAGATAGATAATAAAAATAATGTATACGTTTAATCTTTGAACAGAGTGTGTTTACAAAAATGATATATTTTAAATTCAGTTGATATATATTCAGTGTATATATACAAGTTAATTTGTAACTATAATTTTCTTATAAATGTCAAAATACAATTTTAAGAAACTAAGAGCATCTTCATCCATGAGATATCCTTTGGGTTTCTAAAACAAAAAAAAATTAGCATTTTAGTAAATTTTAGTTATAAAAATAAAATTGAACTAATACATGAGAAATAAGTGTCTAAGAGCATCTCCAACGGTTCATATATTGGGTTCTCTCATATAGTTCTCATGAAAAAAAATTTCAAAAATAAATCAAAATCATGTTATATGAAGAGAGACAGCTCTCTTGTGAGAGTTTTTGAGATGCAAGAGAGACGATGACGTAGCGTCATACCATTGGTCGATTTTTAGACAAAACAAGAAAAAAAAACGCAACAAAAAAAAAACCCGACTCTTTCTCTCTCTTTCTTTGCCAGCGATGGCGTTCGATTTTCTCCGGCGATTGAGGCAGACGGCGACGATTGAGGGAAGAATTGAGTGGTTAGGCCGGGAATGAGAATGATGATGCATCGTATGTCACGATCGGGAATGAGAGAGATCACTGCAAATTGGAGATCCAAATTCAATGGATGGAGAGTAATCGATTCAACTTGGATCGTAATTGGTAAGAGCATCCACTTCTTTATGCATCAACAATTGAAAAGTGGTTTGGTTGAGTATATACGGAGAAAATTTCGCAACAATCAACAGAATAACTAATCGTTTTTTTTCAAATTTATTTTCAAATGTATGAAATTATTGTATGTTTAATATGTTATGAATTGTAATATTTTTCAGTTTTATGAAATAATTTAATTTTTTCCTGAGAACCCCACAAAAAGAGCCTACCATTGGACTTTGCAAAATTAAAATTTTTTAATAAAAGCTCTCATCTCATAAATTTAAAAATTTTATTCTTAAAAAAATGGTGAGAGCCCTAATGAGCATTTCATGAATCTCTCAAAGTTTCTTTCTTACTTTTTGAGAGACTCTCTCCCTTTTCTTTCTTACTTTTTGATTATTTTTTATTTTTACATTATAGAATCTCTCAATAAAAGATTTTTAATAGAAATGTTTTAATGGGGTTATTAACGAGTTGGGCATTTGTTGGACCAAAAATTTGAAATAAAGGACAAATATATGGGCTTCGTTTTGAGGCATTTCTTGACTAAATGAAATTACACATTTACCCCTATCATCTGTATCTTCTCCCTCATTCTTTTTTCCCGACCACCACCACGTTTCCTCCACCGACCAAAACGTTTGCTTCCTCTCGCAACCACAATAGTCGCTTTCACGGCCTTAATCCTTGCTTCTCACAACCGTATGCTCCATCAATATTGTTTCCGTCACTTTTAACACCAACTTTTTCACCTCCAAAATACAAAATCTCTCTTCCGTCGACGATAACACCATCTTCGATTTGATGAATTCAATGGATTTAAAGGAAACTAAACCCTAAGGGGATAGTATCTAGTAAATCCAAGCGGTCCAATCATAAACATTAATTGAATCAAAAGTTTCAATTCAACTTCAAATCTAAACCAAATTTGTAAATTACATGCATGTTCTCGATCTTATCATCATCTTACCATCATCTTATTCTTCTACTTGCTTTTCACCACTGCGCAAACCACCGTTGTCACCGGATCTCATCATCACCACCATCTAATTTCCAGTGCCGTCTTCTTCGTCTCGTCTTCTCATCGTCACCACTATCTCGATCACCGGATTTATCATCGTTTTCACAATTTTGTTCTCCGAATTTCATCATCGTCACCACCATCATCTTCACAAATCGTTGTTGACTCGTTGTCACAGACCGTAACGTCGTCAAATCTTCTCGTCGTTGGGTGTAATTATAAAAAAGATATTTCCATATAAGGAAAAATGCCTAAACCAGTAAGTATGAACAAATGAACCGGATCTGATAATTTATGTTGGAATACAGCCCAATCCGGTAATTGATTCATGTTTTAATAGACTATATGCAATAACGAGAGGATGTTGGAGACTTTGCAAAAATACCACTAGTTTGTGCATTGTTTGCAAAATTACTACAAAATTTTCCTCTAATTTTAAAATACCAGTGTTTTAGGTATAAACTTGCCAACTTAACTTCATAACTAATTGATAAAACTAGTTTGAAAATTAAATGAAAGAAGTGTTGATTAAAAATACATCAACAAGGATTTTTTTTGTTTTTAAACCTCAATTTCTCTCTCAAATAGTCAAAACTTCTGTTAAGAAGTGTGGTATGCAAGTGGGTATCGAGAACATTCGAAGTCGGCAGAGTGCTTGATTTGGATGACGAAAACTTTGCATATTGTTGTAAGAAATAGAAATTGACTTGGTCCAAATACTTGAGTTTGGTTTCTTACACGTGCTCTCCTTCTTTCTTCACGTGCTTTATGACAAACTTTCTCCGCATCACGGTGACATACATGTAATGACGTTGTAATTCTTTTGATCGTAACCAAACCAAATGATACTAATAGTTTTGCCTTTAAGCCTTCAAAGATTTGCTCTGCGTTAGTTAATTAAACTATTATATTTGTTAAACATGCATGTTGTTAGACTTTAAACGTTGGTGGGCGTGTTGTATGGACTTTTAACAAAAACTTTGGAAGCAAAGGAAAAAAGACTTTGAAAATAATATAAATTATATATATATCTATATATATATATATATATATGTTATGATTCTTAAATATTTAATAACAAAAAAAAATGAATTCTTTAATATTCTGTAAATTGATCAACGAACACGGCTCTGCTTACTTTATTGAAAGAGACATAGATAGTAATATAGTATCATAGTAAGTTTAGTAGACTTTCTTTATATCCACTAAACAAAAAGAAGAAGATTAAAAACTCCAACTTCTAGAAACTCTCCATCTCTCATTCCTTTAAAGCCTTTACCATCTCTCATTCATGAAACTAACCAAATTCAAACACAAAAAAAATGTCCTCCAACATCGATCAAAAGGCTGTAGCAGCACTCCTCCGTGGCCAAGGATGCGCTAACAGTCTCAAGACGCTCCTCCAAAACAACAAATCAAGCTCAGTTTCAACTGAGCAGCTCATCAACACCATTCTCAATTCTTTCTCACTTGCTCTCTCTTTTGTGGATTCTCCTAATCATGTACCACACAATGAGTCATTTCTTCAAAACATGACAAGTCATGTTCCCCAGAGATCATCAAAGAAGTAAGTCACCAACAAAAAGCTAAATACTCATTGCATATGTTATATACAAAGTTCATGAGTTTTGAACTCAAATCAAGTGAAGTAGCATTTGTTTTTTCATGTTACTTTATGTCTGGTATAATGTTTGAATTAATATGCAATTATGTCTTCTATATTTTTAATCATTGCTCTAATACATCACTGCAGAAAAAATTATGGAGCAGAAGGTTTAGTGTTTTACAGAGACGAATCCCTGACTCCACGGGATGATGGCTTCACCTGGAGGAAATATGGACAAAAAACCATCAAAACCTCTCCGTACCAAAGGTTAGTTAATTACGTACTTAGTAAAACAGAGCCACTGCTCTGTTCTTACAAAAACAAAGTGAATGTTTCCTCTAGGGCTCGGCATATAACCCAAAATCCGAAAACCGATCCGAAACCGAACCGAATAGTCACAAAACCAGAATTACCGGAACCGAATTCGATCCGAACCAAAAATCGATTGGATATCCGCTAACCTGAAATAAAATTTTACATCCAAAATATTAGTTATATTTAGTTATAATTTTATACCCAGAAACAACTAAATAACAAAAATATCCAAACTTTTTTAGTTATATTTGTTATAATTATAAAAAATTGCAAAATTTAACCAAATTTTAGGAAATTAAACCAATTTTTATTAAAATTATACAAATTTTTAGTTTTCGAAAACCGATCCGAATCCAACACCATCCGAACCGAATCTGAACCGAATAGTCCTAAAACTCGAACAGATAATAAACTCCCCATCTGAGTTATCCGAATCCGAAAAAATCCGATCCAAATCCGATCCGAAATCCGAATACCCAGACCTAATTTCCTCTGTTCTATGAAAGACGTAAATAGCGTAGCTGTCTTTTATTTATTTGAAGTGGCGATAACTTCAAGTT